TCGACGTAGTTACCTCCATGTGGTGAGACCTGGGTTGGTGGCGATTGCAAAGTCTAATCTTTGCAAACGGCACCAAGCGAAAAACTACGATCTAATTTAAGAATCTCTGTATTTGTATGTTAAATTGTACATCATTAACTTAATGTATGCGCTAATAAATATTGCGATAAGGGAAATATCTGATTTACTTTGGATTAACAAATAAATGGATGAAACGAATCTTGGCATTTTTATTTTAAAATCCTTGTCCAAATTATCAATTCTAGGTACGGCTACTTCGAGTTAGACTTGGATACGCTAACAAGTGAAGAACTACAATTTCCAATGACTTCCGATTTTTCAATAATTTAATCTATATAAGTATGAATAGATGCTGATAAATGTTACAACAAATTCAGAAGAACAATTGATTCCGTTTCGCTGGAACAAATGTCAGAACGAACAGGAGACGAAGCATAACTTGGTTCGTTTGTAGAAAACTAGGAAACACATCCACGTCCTTATTTCTCAAGTCTCACTAAAGTTTAAGTTTAATCGATGATTATTCATAAAGAGAGGACGCTCGAAACAGCGTCAATTTTTCGTGTCGGTACGACAGTTGAACGGGAGATGCAAGAGTGCATAAGCTTCCCCTCGTACAGAAAGCCCGTGCCCGAAGGGTAGTTCCGTTATCGAACCGGCCGGCTTATCGTGCAAGCAACCCTGCTTTTCCCGATTCGAGAGCTCTCCAGCTTTTACTTGCCGTCGATAAAATCAAACGTTTCACCACTGTATTTTATTTCATCTGGTCGAGTCAAAAGTAGACATTCATCAGCATTTTCGTTTCATTGTTTCATCACAGATAAATAAATATATGTATATGTATACAGTTCGTGAGAACTGAAAAAATTTTTTCTTTGCTTTTGAAATTAGTTTCGATATTATTAATCGAGAACGACGAGTTCACGTCGATAGATTCAAGAATTAAATATTAATAATCCATTTAATTAAGAAGGAACGATTAAAAGAATCAAGAATACACTGTAAAGTAGTATTGAAAAATAATTCGAGCAGGAAGTGGCGTTAAACGAGAAACATCGCGGTAGCGAGAAAAAATCACGGCGGGTGGTTGAGTGGTATCAGAAAAACCTTTAGCCCGATCCTATCAACCTTCGAGCATAATTGACTTCTAGTGTCGTTCACGTTTCGTACGCTGTTTTTTTTTTCTGTCTCTATCTCCTTACGAAAGCGTGTCGCGTAAAGAGGGCAACCATTCCCTCTGCCAAAATTATACTCAATAATAAAAATATCCAGGAAAAGATAAATTACATCGCTACTCTTATCGATCCACTGTTTATATGAAGTATAGATTACTGTACTTTCTACGTTCATAATAATATGGAATTCGTACATCGTAAAATGTAATCGAACCGATATTTCGAACCACGGGGCGCGTAATAAAGAGTCAAGAAGCGTTCCGATGTCCTCAGCTTTCTAAACGCCGTTGCGTTGTAATCGGCCCATTAGCGTGCGCGAAACCTCGTTAAATGCCACGTGAACTTCACCCCCGACGATCTTCAAGTCTTAATCGTAAAAAGTGAAATTACCATCCGCATTAGCTACCCTAGGAATGTACTCCAATTGGAATTGGAAGATAAACATTCAATCTCTTACCTCTACCCTGGTAAACTTACATCCACCATAGGTTCCATTTATTAGGTAATAAAATAGAGTAATCGCGCACGTTTCAACGTTTCCCTATTGCAAAAGTTTTAGTCAAATGTAATATACGACACGTAGCAACGACGTGCCTTTAACTTCCAGCGTACAAAATGCATAAATTGTTCTGTTTGCAGTTGTCAAGCGTTTTTCTCCCATATATTCCAGCAGTGATGAACAACTTTTTGTGCAGAGTAATATAGTACATGTCTCAATCTCTGTTCACATCACAGTTTCTACTCGCTGGATTAAGATTACATATAAAATCATAAGAAAAAAGGCCATAAAAGCAAAGAAATTGTAACGTGAACAGAAATTGATACATTGGGTTTGTTGGTAAGCGAACCTACTCGATTAAACGACGCTAAGTTCATTTTGCGAAGGGAAGGAAGTTTCGAAAAGTGAACACAGAGAAACCACCGGTTTTGGCACCGGGTATTATATTTCAAAGCGAGGTTCCGGCGGATCGCGGAATCATGAATCACGACTCGTATATGACCCCGTCATTAGCTAATTAATGATGCCGGAGTTAATTGCCCGACGCGACGGGCAACGCGATATTCATTGTGGAAACAGTCGATCGGTTTTCGCTAAATAAAAGATGAACACTGACTATCGACCGACACAAGTATTTGGATAATTATAAAAAGTTTCGTCACGCCACAACTTGAAAGATTCGAGTTTCGAAACTTGCTTTTCCTTCGACTGCCGACTTTTCACGATTGACTCGATCGACTTCATTAAATCATTTAAAGTAAGCCATAAATATTCATTACACAATATTTCATATGATTAGTGCAACAATTGATGTAATAATGTTCCATGTAATGATTAATATAATGTTCGAATTAATGAAATGTTTTACACAGTGGTTAATAGAATTATTCATGCACTGTTTTAACATTTATAAGCTAATTGATAGCATAATTTGGTGACAATAATGAGAGAAACGATATCGATGCAACTGGGTCATGTGCTCGACATGTGCAGATTTTTATTTCCACGTTTCATAACTTTCCTAATGACGTAGGTCGATCGTAGGTACGTTCCTTTAAGCGTGCAATAATTGTTTCAAGCTTTTCACCTTCCTTCGTTCCTCCCTTTGTGTCATTATTCCTCCGTTACCACGGAAACTACGTCCGTTAGTTATGCTCGACGCGCGTTTGTCTTCTTTTACGTAAAGGGACTCCGCGCTTCCATGAAATCAACCAACGAGAAAACTTTTTACTCCGATCGTCCCGGCGAAATGAACGGAAACGGTAACGATGCGACGTTTATTGTCTGGATGAACGAAAAGCAATCGTTGAACGTTCATGTCCCCCCAGACTCGGTTCGTCAATCAGTCGAATGGTCTCGAAATAAGAGAAACCTCTTACTTTTTCTCGCTCGAGCTCTTAATCTTAATCCCAATTGATACGTTCTTAGCTCGAGTGCCGATCGTTACACGCGTTTCCAAACTCGTTGCTCTGTTTTATTCTCGCCGATTCGTTTTTCTCCAGTACAGAATTACGCATTAATTAAAAGTTAGAACGGACGAACTTCATCTATGAATGCCGGCTAGCGTCGGAGTAACATTAGTTAAGGATGTAAAAAATGGGACGGAAGGGGGGGATGGAGATAGAATTCGGCAGAGAAACGGGGTCCATCGAGCAATTTGACATGGGTCACGTAGCTGAGTTGGCGGTGGTATTATTAGTCGTTAATTACGGGCGGCACGTGACGCCGGAAGTCGTGTAATTGAATGGATCCATTTTCTTCTCGACGAACCACCTGTCGCATTTGCGATTCCTCTCGCCGCTGGCCGAGACCTGTTACCCTCGCCTCTTGCCGGCAACGCGGCACCAAGACAAATGTGAGAATTAACGTAATTTAAACCATTGACGGTCTGCCGATGCATTAGCCGAACACGATTGAAATAAATGAATAAATGCACGGTTTTTAGCACGTGCACCTCGAACGTTTTTAAATACCTACGAGTAAGACGTTCAAGATAAATGTGGTTTTCTGACGAGTTTCAAGAATATCTTGTAAACATCGAGTTGCACGGTGATAGTAAGGAAATAAGAGACACAAAGTACCGCTGATATACATTAAAAATACAAGATATCATGACTCGAAACTTTAAAGGTTGCGAGAATCAGATCTACAAAATGAAAGCAATGATCCCCAAAGGTATTGAAATTACAGTTGCAAAAAACGGTTTGGGTATCGCAAGGTCGGATCGAACTCTGTTATATCGAAGTTCGTATCGTAAACCGAAGAGGGTAGAAATTAAGATCGTGTTACCGCGAAACTTTCCCCGAGTTAACAGTAAAGTTTATAATCCCTCGACCAGCGTCCGACTTTATAATCGCTCTCTATTCCCATGACGGGGAACTGACCAACGCACCGTTCGTCCACGGGATATACGTTCGTACTGTCCTCGCTCAAATCTGGCAAAATAGGAGTTTTGAAACGCGGCCAAATTGGCGGACAGGAAACCGGAGATAGAATATTTTTGACGAACATGCGTGGGTCTCTCTCCCTCTCCGTTTAGTTCCAGGACTCTGCTTGAGTTTACGCAGTTCTCACGTGTCAGCTGTTTGAATCGGCAACCCACGAGAGTTCGCCAACAGTTAAACCCGTACGAGGTTCACAGTTTATTAATTCGTTGTCCAGTCGAGCTTTTAAGTCCGATGAATTCAAACTTCGAGCGCTTATTATCCATCAAAATATCTACTAAACGTTCCAAAACAATGACCACCCCAATAGAAACATCGTAGTAAATCATTGAATGAATTATACAGCTGTACGAGCCACGTACAAAAATGGGTACTTAACAAGATTGTACTTAGAATAAGAAAAATAGAAGTTTCATAAAATATCTTAAGTGACTAGACTCCAAACCCACACCTTGCATTATTTTTGCTTGGTCATGAACAACCACGCGGCTACCCCAGACCCTCGAGCCTTACGAGGGTGTGTCAACCCACGCAGTCTTATAAGATCGTTCGATGCCCAAAAGGAAAATCAGAATCTTTATCTCGCTTGAAGAGCGTGCGAAGATCTCTGATAATTAAACAGACTGCTCCGATCTTCGGTTTCCTTTAACCAACTTTTCTAACTCAATCGACGAACGATACTTCGGTTAAATGCGATGGATCCGCACGATATCGTGGGAGGATAGTTTAAGATCGAATAGGAACAAGTTGCGAAGGATCTCGTGAGGGTGCTGATAGACAGGATAACGCGCGGTTTCGCGGATCGTTGGGAATTTCAACCACGCCTGCGTCGCGCGCGAAGTATATAGGAGCGGTTGCCGCTCGAGGCGTCACATTGCCTGCTCTCGACCACGTCCTTCGTCGAGTACATCTTCCTGGCCAACGCAAATAACGTGCTTCGAGCGTGCAATCGGTCCGGAACCCCTTCGACAGTTCGATAAATCTAATCCGAACGCGTATCGTTTCGAATTCGCGCGACCGAGCCTTTCTCCATTGGACGGCTCGACTCGACGGCTGTCTCGAAGACGTCGGTGATTTCGAAACCCGCCTCGGCGAAGATCCACGGAGAACTCGTATCGGAAGATCGGCGAAAAACCGAGGAGGAAGGATTCTCTCGAAAAGGAAGGAGACGAGCGACAGGGTGCCAGGAACTTTCCGTGGAAACATACGCGGCTCTCTGAACTGCGTCCGCTTCGACAGATTCGTAGATAGATGGGCAACGGAATGATACCACTTATCTTAGTGGCGATGATACCGGTGATCGCTGGCAGCATCGGGCAACTCAGTAAGAGGAGCGCCCCGATGAATCTCGATTACCCCGACTATTCTAACAAGTACGACGAGTATCCGGTGAGTAATTACGTAGACGTTTCTTCGCCGCCTGTCTCGCCGTTACGCGGTTAAATCGTTCGAAATCGTCGTCGCGAAAAATAGATTCTACGACTCGTAGGGCGTAGAGCGATGTCACGTCAAAAGCCAGATAATGTTACGTCGAAATAGGAGTGGACCGGGAAAACAACCCAAGGGGGACGCCTTTTCTTAATATTTTAGCGTACCCAGCCGACTCGTATAGAGTGAATCGATACCAAGTGTCACTCGAAATGATCGTTCAGTCATCAATTTTACTAAAGTGAATTTCGTTTCCATGAAATATAACGCTACATCCGTCGTACGAGTACTGTTTCACGGTGAACACACAGGAAGTTTCCTTTAAGTAAATAATCGTCTACTTCAAATAGTAATTCAGTTCGAGTCACCCTCTAATACGTGTGGCTTCGCAAACAGTTGCTTAAACCAAATTTCCACAGCCTCGCCTCGTCGAGTTGAGGAAAACGCGAATCGCGATCAACAAGTAGGGTTGCGCTTTGCCGAATTCCTGCGGGAATTCCTTCACCCACTCTTCCACCATTCCTAGAAATCTTTCGACGTCTCTGTGCTCATTGTACGCGACAAGGCTTATACGTACTCGTCTAGAATTAATTTCCCGTCGTAAATATAGATACATCAAATTGTCGTGCGAGACGTAATGGCCAAAGGTTACCATCCTCCTACGCCGTTCGACTCGTCCAAATTATTCCGTTCCGCGTTGCAGACATTGTTAAGATATTTTTACCTTGGAAAAAATTAAATCTCGTTACGCATTTTTTCCATCGAACTCTCCTCGTACCTTCGAACCGGAAAAAGATAGTCGCTCTTTCGTATATCGAATATAGGATATACTATCTCTGATTGGATTTACTCTCGATTCCGGGGAAAAAACGTGTTCGCAACCCTGGTTCGGTAATCGAGTTATAGAATATCTCGTTCTTAATTTCGTCCGTCCCTTCCGGACTGCTCCGTCTGCAATTTCATTCTTCTCGAATTTCTCTATTACTCGGTGTATTCCGTTTCTCACGGGGTTCTTTGTCTCCCCGTAAACGAGAGCGTAAGCCGAGTATATTACTACCTTCGCTGTCAACATTTTCTTATTTGCGCTTGCGACACCGAAACGCGACACATCACGTTGCACATGTATGTACTTTTCTTGTTATATACAGATATACTCGATCGCTGCTCCTTCGTGAATCTGGTGTTTCACGTAACAATCATTGCAACGTTCTGCTTGTCGCAATAATTGGCACACCGTTTATATTTAACGATTCTAACTGGGAATTAATAAAAATCGACTGAGTGACTGTATCCGTGTATTTTATTAAACCGGAATTCATTTTATAAATATCTAATATCTATAGATAGACGTTAACTTCAAATAATACTGCGTATCGATTTACTCTATGATCTGCATAGGGTTTTAATGATAATCGAGAAACGATTTGAAACGAAGAAAGTTCTAATTACCACGGGAACGCGGGGGCACCGAGGAGGTGTCGAGGACATCCGAGGCAACACGGAGATTTCGCGAACTTATTAATTGGTCGGGTCCCGATCGTTCGATTAACCCTCGCGTCATTAGCTACCGCTCAGTAATTGTTGCGCAAACGAATCGTTCCTTCGATTATTAATCCCCAGCTCGATGGCTCGTTTTCCAAGTGGAAACTGTCTCCGACTTCCTTCCTCGCGATTCACGCGTTAATTAATGAATTATTTTCTGACTACATTAATCACGTCTACCGTTTCAACCGACGATGAAATAAGACGCGCGGTACACGCCAGTCCTTCAGCGGCCGTGTCCTAACTCTAATTAGTTATCCTCTACGCGTTTCTATTATTAATTGCCAGTTAAAACCTTCGGTCCGACGCGAGGCGCCGTCCTTTTTCATCGTCCGAGAGATCCGAGCATCGAAATTTATCTCGGCGGTTGTAATTGCATCCTTCTCGATTATACAAATTGCCGATCGATTAGTAACGATAATGATAATTGATGCGGCGATACGATGTACGCAAACAGACTGCGAGTAATAATTCAGCCCTGTGCATACGTCATTTCGATGCTCGTAGCAGCAGCGGGCGATTTCGCTCGCACAGATTTTTACTCGCTAATCCATTTACCCTATTAAGACACCCACGCAGTAAATTTGTCTGCATTTATTTTTGACAAGAATCCCCCGACCGTTCCTCCTTAAGAGATTAATAAACTCGCGTCTCTGACGTATTGCACTGACGAAACAGGCTTCCAAGGAATCGTTTCCACCGCGAGCACATTTTTCCATAACCCGACCGACTGAACGCAGTGGCAACGATTGGAATCCAATGGTTGATCGATCCGAACGAGTTCCACAAGACACCCGGTGAACTTTCCAGCGTTGAAGTCTCTAAAAAGACGCCTCATCGTTCCACGTGTTCCGCGGTTCAATCGTCGACTTGAATTTCTCGCGACGCTCCCCGTTTCCCCTCGACTCTCCCAGCTCGATTCGCAAGTCTCAGGACACTTACACGTGGTTGTCCTTTGTCAACGAGTCTGATCAATATTCCTAACCATCAGAGACTATCTCGATCTTACGTCACGTAGTGAATCAAGAATCGATTCAATAAAATTGTACTTCATATTGAAAATCGTTCCTTTATTTAAGGATGTATTGGCTGTACAGTCAATCCCGAAAGTTTATACACTTTAGAAACGCATTTTTTAAAAAGAAATCAGACGTCGGAAGAACATTGCTAATAGACAACAACAACAAAATTTTCGATTTTTCCGAGATTTTTCTAACGGGCCCTTCAATTTTTTCCAAATTTTCGTTTTTTGCCAATAAATCCCAAACCGTTGGACATACGGAAAAATTGCATATGACCTTTCTTGTAGAGGACGACGAGATCTACAATTTCTGTCTAAAAGTTTTTTGCTAGCGTCAATAGTTAATTGGATATTTCCTTCTATACTTTTTAGCACGTAGCTATTTATTATTAGCATTATTCTTCCGACGTCTGATTTCTTTTTAATTATACGAAATGCGTTTTTCTAAGGTACATAAACTTTTGGGATTGACTTTATAGCCAATACATCTTTAAGATACGATTTCATTGAAAAAATTTACGACTCGTTACACGATTTATCATGCAACTAAAATTACATAATTTATTTAATGGTACGACGTTTCAGTCGTCACCTTAGATCTTTTTAGAACAAGTAGGTGAAAATGTAGGAACGTGGAATCGCAATGAGAGACGGCCTACAATCCTCGTGTTTTCGTCTTTGCGACGCGACAGTTTCGCGACAATAACTTTTATGTGCTCGGCTAATAAGAACGAGCCATCGCGTCAACGCGTGGCTTTAATCATCGTAAATCGATTCGCCTCGGCGGCGCTGAAATTATTTGCGGAAGAAGACGATCTCGATATAAGACACGCTCCTATCTTTCGCGTTTATTACCGTTTCATTGCGGCAAAGGGTATACCGAAATTCACAACCGGCGCATTTACCGTCTATCCGATTCGACGCGGGTAAACGTTGGTCTCGTAATTTAATCGCGTCGTATTATGTGTTATTACATCATCTCGTGAAAATAGTTCATTCGTTTCACGCTCACGTCTTAATAAATCGTATTTTATAGTATAATAAAATTTATGAACGAGTGATACTCTTAGCCGGCAAATGAACTTCAATTGTGGGCGCGAGTGAAAATTTGATCAGACGCGGGGCTAATGTTAAAGGACGATCTATTGTAAAGACAAACGACCCTGCAGTTTGTTAATACTTGATACGGTTACATTTGACGGGTTTCCTCGAAATTAGAAGCAGCCGGAAGAATAACAGTAACGAGTAATTTCACGCTTCCCACGCTCTCTTTAGTCGCAGCGTCCCGCAATGCTTATTCGACATTCGTTTTATGCGCGTCCGCCTACCTTAAGAAGAAGAAAAAATAAACCCGTCACGTCTAAATTGTGTATCGACAGCATCGTTGTAAAAGACCGACACGTTTTTCGTCCGACGGGAGCGTCGGCGTTAATTCGTTCTCTCCCTTCTCGTGCAATAGCGTCATTGTGACGACGTTTTCAATCGAGTGAGCTAATTTGCGAAACAAGAGTGCAGTTTTACGTGGTCCTTACAGGGTGCTTTGATCAGAAGCGCCAACGGGTGCGATCATCACAGAGTACTTCAGTCGAAAGGGTAAAGGTACAATTCTAATTATGGAGTAAAGTACTGATCGTAGAATAAATCGAATGTACAAGTGAAGTCCATAAACGTTCGTACAAATTTCTTATTGAAGTCAACGAATTAATCTTTCTTTTAGATCTTAGAGAGATCAGTATATTATATGACGTATAACAGAAAATTATAGAAGCTGTGGAAAAAATTATTATTAAAAAATTATTGAACGAAAAAAAGAGCACAATTTGTAAGTTTTTTATCTAATCAAGTTTTTCTGCTCTAATAATGAGTTGAAACGTGCTTCTGATAGATCTAAGTATGTTACATGTATGTAAGGATTTTTCTAAATTCTTGCCGTCGAGGAGGAAAGGACGTTTTAACCCGGGCGACGCGTTCCCTTGACCTGCACGATTTCCATCAGCCAAAATTTCCTCTCGATTTTCCGAGCAACTAGCCGACCGACGCGACGCGACGCGACGTCTAATCAATTAGTTTATCGGGTCTAGTGGTCGTCAGCCGTGGAAGGTAACGCGTATACGCGTCGGCCCCGAACGAGGAAAAACGAAATTGCGACGGTACGCGAATTCCATTTCGTCGTAGCTATCAACGCTCGGACTGTTCGCGCTTAGCGAGGAATGTTTAATTAAACGCGACAAGGGACACGCGTTTCCTTACACGTGCGACGATACCATTCGATGGGCGAATGTAAAGCGAAATTATCCGAAAACTACGAATGAAATCGCTATCTAAACATCAGCCGCGGTCGTTATTCCAGTTCGAAAAAACCTCACGGATAAGCGGAAGGAACGGGCCGGCGTTACTCTCGATTATCGTAACGTTAGCAGATCTCGTTTACGTTTAGACGCATCGAAGCTCAGTGTCTAACATACGACGCGCCGGTAATCGCACGAGATTAAAAAAAGAGAGAAAAAAGGAGATACATAGAAGCTAAAAGAATTATTTATAAGAGTAAACGGTGACGAAGAATAGCTCGCACGTTCCCCGGAAACCACGCGACCCATTAGCTTCCTCTTTCATTTAACGATCTCCAAACGGTCTTCCATTTTTCCCCTTTACCCTGTTTCCTCCTAATCTTTTTTCAACGACCACCGCGACGCGCGAACGAAAACACGTTCCGTTGGCCCGGCCTCGAACATTTCCATATTCACCGTGGCCATTTGGCCGGCCGACAAATTCATTCGGGACACGCCTGTGTAAACACGGGTTACGCGTTAAATATGCGAGTAGTTCGCGTACACGGAAAACAGCTATGGACCCGAATAAATTGATTAATCGCGCGTCTTTGTCACGACCGAACGCATTGTCGCACCAGCACGCTCGTCGGCTGCTAAAATTGTATCCGTAAAGAAATTAACCGTTTCATACGCGAACATCGTCCGGAGGATACCGCCAGGTTCCGAACCGATTGCCATTCCGATTATGATACTTGGCCCGCGTTCGGCATTGAAACGGCAAACAGTGCCGCTCGACCATCATCCCCCTTCGGCCCACCAGCACCGCAATAACATCAATTCTGGCCCGACGAATAGCCGCATGATTGTCGGGTGCACGAGTGGGCGGCTGGTGTCATTGTGCAAAATAATTCTTTTACGAAGCCGCTACCGAAGTCCGCCACCTCAATGCCGTTTGGAGATCGATCCCGATCAATGGCACTCCGAATCTCGACTGAGCTGCGGTGTTTAGCCATTTATACAAATTATAAATGTGTGCAATGTATGAAACTACTTAGAATATCGAATGCGGAATTAAAACGTTTATCCAAAAACATATGTCCGAATCAATAATCGGTTCAATTTCCGACACGGTATTGAAGAAATAGACGAAAATTGTCTCTAAAAGGTTGAATAATTAATAAGTTTTAATAATTAAATGATTAGTTGAATTTCCGAGACGGTATTGAAGAAATAGACGAAAATTGTCTCTAAAAGATTGAATAATTATTAATTACTAGATAATAGGATGTAATTAGAGATGATGCTATTATTAATAGCCACGTGGCGTAATTCCTTTTACGTCGCCACCAGTGTAAAACAGAATCGACGCATCTACCTAATTAATCGATTTGTTTAAGAATCCTACGCTCGAGCACAACGGAATTCTACTCTCTTAAAGCATTCGGTGGGACAAAGCTACAGAAATTCTTTGTAGTCGACCTCAAGCGTCCCACGGCGAGGCTGCCCTTTTATCAAGCAGAAAAGGAACGCGAGAGCTTGAGCTCGTATAAGTTAAACCTATGGTCTGTTTATCCTTAACTGAAAAAGAAATGGCTTAGCCGCGGCACAAAGAGCAACGCGGACTCGATGATATTCGTATCATGCCGTGGATTAGCGTAGGAGGAATTTCACGCGAAGAACGTATGAAGCGGTAGATAGAGGATAGTCTGGACGGAGCTTTGTACCGATCCGAGGGGAGGACTTCTGTTATCGAGGAGAGAAAGTCAACAAAGAGGCCGATTAATAACCGCGGATACAAAAGATCGTAGGTATTCGTTTTTAGGCCGTCGCAGTACGCTAGTTTACAATGGAGTTTAATTAAAATCGATTATAGCAGCGTGACTCTAAAACCTGTTCTATTAGATACGGTTCACTTTGTTCCTCGTCGAAGATAGAAGCACTGTTCAATCCGTTACGTTATCGGGTTCTTATCGACAATTTAATCGCGGAACGCTGTTCGAGCGTTGAAGAGCTGACGTTTATCGGTAATTGAATTTTGACTGCTTTGACGAGACTCGTCCCGAATGAAAATCGTACAAACCTCAAAGCATATACATGTGTTACTCGAGCCAGCTTCGATACGTATCGAAGCGTAGACGAACACACAATAGTTTATCTACATGCTCTTCTTTTTTCGCTTGAGAACCTGCCTCCAGTACTTAGTACACGACCTAGGTACGATCTTTCCTAACTTCCAATCGCGCATCGACTTCGACTGTTCTTTGAATAAATCCACGCAAAGAGTGAAGAAACTTTCAGAAGCTGTTAGACCAGCAGAAGGCCCGTCGTTCGATGTTTGTTTTTTAATTAGTTCCAACTTTCTCGGACGCAGAGATTTTTAATTACTTTAGTCCCGTCCCGATCGCTACACGTTTTCGTTCCTGGCATAGCCGCAGGCGACGCAGCAGGGATAACGCAATGATTGAGCTGCCGCTCGTCCACAGAGAAAAGTGCAGAAACGGAAGCCGATATTGCTTGCGACGAGGAATTACCACGGAAATACATGGTTCAGCGATTTATCGACGACGGGACCAATCGACTTTACGTTCCCGCAACTGGGTCAACGATCCATCCACGCGACGCGTGACTCCTTAACCGAATCTCGCGCGGTTCCTACCTACGTACGAATCGCCACGAGTAAATAAAAAAGTACCGCGAAACGAGAGAAAAGCCCTCTGGGAAATCGGTCGTGTAAACACGACACACGACGTACGATAGAAAATAGTCACGTTGTTTACTAAACGTGGACTTTGCTTAAATCAAAGTTTCCCGGTTGCTGATTGCCCGTCGCGGAAAACGAGTCCCCGAGTTCAATAAAAGGAAAATACCTGGTGAAAGCAAGAATATGTCGATTCAATTAGTTCCATAAAATAAAAATTAGACAACGAATTCTAATAAAACGCATGAATGATCAAATACATTTTATATCATTTACGTGCAATTCCACGTTTACTCGTCCGCAATGACGTTCAACGGTGACACGATACGAGGACGTGATATGAGCCTTTAAGACGCGTCGGTTTCTAAAACGGTAGGTATCCAAATAATATGGTGCCGCAGAAAATTGGCTAACTAATTTGGAACGCGCACGGTTAATGAAGGCGATAATTAGATCCGTGTCGGAGTTGCTAACTTTCGTAAAGCTTCGAGCTACGGGATAATCGAGTCGAATCGTTTGGCAAGCGGCTCGTTAGGTCATTCGAGTATGTATATATCCATGGAAAACTACGCGCTTCGAGATCAACCAGCTTCCTTAGAATTCGCGTTTCTTGTTACGAACGATCGCTTCTTATCGGGAACTCGTTCGACGGAGACTGGAAAATTGACACGTAAATCTTGATAGAACTGATGTCGCTCGACGAACAGTTCCGGTAAACGTGTATAAATACATATTTGCATTTAATGAGGAACGTGTGCACCCGGTAATAGCAATCTTATTACTTTTATATGAATAAATTCAGATAAGAATATTTTTATCACACCAAGACGTTATTAATAATATGAAATAGATATGAGTCAGTACCGACCTTTTCACAAACAATCAAATATTTTAAATAGAAATATACATATACACAAGTTTAATTCTAAATTTATCGAAAAGAGAAAAGTGGCTACGTTATTAGCCCATTTATCGGGTTGGCAACTAAATAATTGCGGAGTTTGTCGATAGAATTTTTATTTAAAATCCGCAATCACTTAAATGCCAACCCAATACATTCTCAATGTATACATATACATAAGTCATACTCACTGTGTTAACATCTGGAGTTTTGCACTCTCCAAAATCAGAGTCGACCGCCGAGCGCCAATATCTGTAAAGGAAAAAGTGGGATAAAAATCTGGATGGAATTATTGAAATCGTTCTATCTGTACATTCACGAGAATTTTTCAAAGAAAAATTCATAACCATCGGAGTTAATGAGATTACCCGCTTCGCGAGAGACTGATAACAAATTACGATTCTCTCGGTCCTCGTCTTACCTCGCGAGACAAAGGAAAATACCTTGGTTGCAAAAGAAATTACTGTGCGTCGTCTAACGTGTCGTCGTATCGAGTTCAGAGTCGTGCAGTCAGAAGAAACGATCTCTGTCACGATAAGAGCGTTTTCTCCCTTTATGCTGCTCCCCGCGCTTTTTCACCGCGATGCAAACGCGCGATTGTGACTGGAAAAGAATTTCTACTTAACGAATCCAATCTGCATGAAACGAGGAACAATCTTAAGAGCGAACTTCCACTCGTCGTTTGTCGAGCGTGAGAAAGAAAATCGGTAAGGGTTCGATCGGCGACGAGGATCGTTGCCGTGAATCAGCGTTAAAACTCCACGGCAATTATCCTCCGGTCTAATTAATTTTAATTGGCGTAAATATTAAATGTCGGGAGTAAGGGGCGCGAGAGATCGATGGAAACGAGCAAGATAATAACAGGACCGCCTTGCAACTGTGTCGTTTACACTGTTCGATGAATTGTCAAGCGAAAATTGCGTTCTACACTTAATTCCGCGAATTGCTCAAAGTACGACTCGTTACAATAATGACTGTAACAATTCTCTCCAAAGTATGTGTAAATTGTTCGAATTCTAATCAGACGGCGCATTTTTTTAGGTGGTGGTGCCGAAAAGAGCGGCTCTTCTTTTCGATCAGTTGATGGTCGCGTTGCAAAAGGTGGTCGACAATCAAGCAAGAGGGGAATTCGGTGGAGCCGACAGGACGTACGAGAGATCGTCGACCGGGCAACTCCCGGCTGTAAATTCGCAGATCGGCCCGTCGGCAGACGAGCAGACGTTGAAGGTTTGTAATTAACGACGACCGAGCGATCGTCTTCTCGCGCTTCTAGCAATTATTGAACGCGCTCAGAATCAGCGAATTAAGTCAATCCCAAAAGTTTATGTACCTTAGAAAAACGCATTTCGTATAATTAAAAAGAAATCAGACGTCGGAAGAATAATGCTAATAATAAATAGCTACGTGCTAAAAAGTATAGAAGGAAATATCCAATTAAGTATTGACGCTGACGAAAATTTTTTTTTTTCAAAATTGCGAAAAATGCTTCAAATAAAAGTTGTTTTCCTTCTAACTTCGATATTTAACGAGTTACGTATGATTATTTGGCATTTTATTGATGTTGACAAAATCCGATCATCCTAGCGTCGAAACGGCGAACTTTTGGAAAAAAATTTCATTTTTCCTTAATTACTCCTAAACCCTTGGAGATACGGGAAAATTGCATAGGACCTTCCTTGTAGAGGACGATGAGATCTACAATTTCTATATAAAAGTTTTGCGCTAGCGTCAATAGTTTACGAGTTATTGACGAAAAACCAAAAAACAGTTTTTCGCAAATTACTGGTAAACTATTGACGCTAGCGCAAAACTTTTATATAGAAATTGTAGATCTCGTCGTCCTCTACAAGAAAGGTCTAATGCAATTTTCCCGTAAGTCCGACGGTTCGGCAGTTATTGGCAAAAACCGAAAATTTGGAAAAAATTGCAAATTGAAAAATCGAAAATTTTTTTTGTTGTTTATTATTAGCAATGTTCTTCCGACGTCTGATTTCCTTTTAAAAAATGCGTTTCTAAAGTACATAAACTTTTGGGATTGACTGTATAGCCAATACATCCTTAAATCGTGACCTTTTATCTTCTGTATAGATGGACCTACAACGACGCGGCCAAGCGAAAGGACGAGTTTATTGGCGTTGTTACTTCAACGCCGTGACGTGCTTCAAGAGAAAGTGATAACGCGAGCAGGCGTGACCAGTACCCACCATAACTTCGAAAACCCGACTCGACCACGAAATTCCTCGCATGCTTTACCCGGCCAGGAGAAAAATGAAAATAAATCGGGACAAATATTAGATCCTAACAGAAGATCGCGGACAATTCTCTTTTCTCACGAGTCGGATTTTACCACGAATTTCCCCTCTTCGCGAAATCTTTTCTTCTCTGTCCTCTCGCTGAACGATGATTCTTAAGTAAGCAACGATTATGTTAGAACACTGTGTCAACTACTTGTCTCTCTGGCTTATAAAGCGATCGGCATAATATTGATATATCGATTAAACGCATCTACTCAAAACGCATCAAACCAGACGAAACATGTTCGCTCGACTGACTCGAGACTCGAAAGTGTTCTCTTATTTATGTAAAATACGCACCCGCCCCCAGCGACAGTCCCATCCATAGATCCCGAATTCCCTCGATACCACTCGCCTAAAAGGTAAGTCGATGTCGCTTTAACGAGTAAATCCTTGAACGTCGATACAGTTTTGTGAATCAGTAAATCGTGGATGACAATCAATAGAAATTATGGTTCGCCTCGTTGCATTAACGAGCCTACCGTTCGTCTCATGTTAGTATTGTCACACAGAAATAATGGAATTAAATCAGATTAAAAGTCAGACACGACAGGAGATCTTTTTATTCGAATCGTTCGTTAACAATAAAAATATGCGTGCCGCTAAGTGGCATCGCGCGCTTTCATAGCTACCGACAGTCTTTCCAAACACAGCACCAATTCGCAATGCTTGGTGTGCGGGAACATGTCTACGGCGACCGCTTTTGTCGGAACCAAAGGTTCTCCGACGTATTGTTTCGAGGCGGGCCTAGCTAAATCCACCAAGTTCCTTGCAGCCGCTCGAGGATTACAAGATACGTAAACCAGCCTCGACAACTTTTTCGTCTTGCGCATAGTCAACAAAGCTCGTTGATCTGTAATAAATATTCCTGTCTGTCCATCCACGCGACGATCAATGTACATAAGTGTATATCTTACGAAGTCCAGCTCGCGGAGGATCCACAACGGCGATCACATCGGGTTTGGTAATTCGCCGAATCACGGGATACAAGATATCCTCGGCTTTGCCAACGAAAAACTCACAGTTCGTCACGTCGTTCGTAACAGCGTTCTCCTTGGCGTCTTTAATAGCGTCCTCGACCACTTCCAAACCGAATACCTCGCCGCAATACTATAAGCGTACGCGTTTATTTTCCTAGCTAAAATCTTTACCAACGAATCTGATACCTTGGAAAATACAAGACCGATCGTTCCTGTACCGCAACAAATATCGAGCATCGAAGTGTCCGCGCTTGGTTTCGCTAAATCAATCGCCGCTTTGTACAACACCTGAGCGCCCAACGTGTTCACTTGAAAGAACGCCTGCGGAGATATGCGAAATTTCATATCTGACAACGTTTCCTCTATGTATCTCGTCCCGCTGATGTAATAATAATCGTCCCCGCCGTCTCCGTTGGCGCTTCTGATCGCAAGTGAAAATGATAAGAATCTGGCTCGATCGGACTACCAAGAACTATCAATATCTTACTTTTGTGTCATCGTTTGTAAATACAACGATGTGACGTGAGCCTCGACGCCGTTCCCGTCCTCGAAAAAGGCTTTCAGCTCCGATTTTAATTGTTCCAACTTTTCGGAACTCAGATCCTGCGGCTGCATCCCTACAATCACCATCAAGTCACCGCGGAGGGTCACTCTGACAGTGACTTGTCTCCAATGACCGCTGTGATCGACGGGATCAAACGGTTTCAACTCAGAATTATTCATGAACTCCTCGAGCACCTAAAATATCTTTAATGGAGACAACGAAAACCTGACGATGAAAGGACGAACTCTACGAAACCTTACCTTAACGACGACTTTCATTTGGCTAGGAATGTGACAAAGATTATCGATAGGCCCTACTGCCGTAGAACCAGAAGCATAACTACACAATCTGAACCCAATTACTACTTTGTCTTCGGCATCGTTCCTACCTACGTCAAATTGATTTCATAGACAGTGTGCTCGCCATAATTTAATATCATATGAACATTGATATTACCAACTGTAAATTCACACTTATTTCTATATTCTGTAGTCTTCTCTGTACTCAAAATAGGAAGCAGCTCGCAAGGCATTCCTTGATACTTGTCTTTCTGATAGTTCAACCAGTCTAAGAGATCGTCTTTGCTCTCTTTCAACATTTGTTTGCAAATGGACTTTAAGATCGAGCTCATTTCTTTTTGCTTCAGCTCTAACTAAAATCACATCGCATTTAGTATTTACGATTTTACACACTCGTCAAATTATGCATACTGGTCATACTTGACTCGCGTAAGGCATGTTCCAAAGAGGAATAGTGGTAGATTTAACTCTGTCTTCGATGGACAAACCCTGATCATCCTCGTCTACTTTTATACGCTTGTTCCCACCCTTCTCCTCTATTTTTCTCTTTACGAATGGATCCGGTGCAGGTTTCGCAATCTGATTTTTTTAAAAGACACTCGATGTTATGGACTGCTATCAGTAGACTGCAGACTTTTATATGACATGAACCGTTTAAGCTAGATAAAATACCTGAGCGCTCAGTTTACTGTTTTTCCATAAAATCCCATTTAACGTTTCTATAGCCTTCTGTCGGGTTTCCTCGTTTCGGAAACACACGTAAAGCCATCCACTGCCCCGCCTGGGTGGCTTTATCTTGCACGTTTGCAAATCGAGCTTCTCGTTCAACAATTTTTTAAACTCACCGATGCCGTAATACTTTGGCAAACCGCGTACCTCGATTTTATACTTTTCCGACGTGAAATCGTCCCTCTCGAGGTACGCGTAAGGATTCTTTTCGACTTCCGTGGTCATAGTTTCTCAAAACGTTCCCTCAATTTATCCACCCGATAAATTTGTTTTTATCAATAATAAAAATATTGTAAGCTTTGCCACTTCAGAATCCACGTGCTCACTGTTTACATGTTCTAGGTTATACTCTGACTTATGTCCATTCAGGTATATAAAATATCTGGAGTGTGCGCGACTGTCAAAAGTCGTAAGATAGAAGAGTAGCGACCAGGGATCTCGTATCTTTCCGTACACGGCTCGCTTCCCCTGTTTTTCGCCCGTTTTTCGATCCCCACTACTATTCTCCTCACGCGCCTTCGCGAAGCTCTCCGCACCTTTGAATTTTGTCCCCTAGGGGAAACTAACACATGCACATAGCTGGCTCAGTTTCGTTGTTACTAGCTGTACAAACAAACATATATCGTGCGGGCGAGCACAGATACTGATACGTACATAATAAGGTTAGGCTTGGCTTCGTTTTCGTAAGAAATTGAATCATGCGACTTGTGGAGAAAATTGAGATATTTAAATTCTACCAAGGCTTTCCCAGGATATTCAGTAGAACAAATGGTATCGATCTCGATAGACGAATGTAATGATTCAAGATATCATCAATGTCGTTCCCATAACACGTAGATGATCTCATGCAAAGAGTTATTTTCTCTCTCTGGATCGTAAGTGTTTAGTCGTGTATATGTCACTTTTGACGGAAGAATAATGTTGACGCGACACAACACGAATACAGACCCTCGCATTGAAGCGATACCACTGAATCTCGTTGCCAGTGAAGACGGTCGAACGCTCCTAACGGTGACAGGTAAAGATTCATGGGTTTGACACAAGTTTCTTGAAATATAAAAATCATACAGATTCGCATCGATTTTGGTTCTTACAGAACGCAAAGATGGTACGTTAGAAATCGTCGCGACGCCAATAACTCTTATCGGACAAACCGGAACAACTTCGTTGGCCGCTGTAAGAAATCTTGATGAGAATTTAATGTCGTACGTGTAACATGAAAACTTATTCTTTGCCATTGTAGCCTATTCTACAAATAAGCTTAGAAGATATTGTAAATGAATCGGAACTTCAGTCGGCAACTCAAACTCTCGATATTGAGCCTGAAGCTGTCATCGAGCCGATGAAATTACAATCTGGTCAAAAGTCGTAAGATAGAAGAGTAGCGACCAGGGATCTCGTATCTTTCCGTACACGGCTCGCTTCCCCTGTTTTTCGCCCGTTTTTCGATCCCCACTACTATTCTCCTCACGCGCCTTCGCGAAGCTCTCCGCACCTTTGAATTTTGTCCCCTAGGGGAAACTAACACATGCACATAGCTGGCTCAGTTTCGTTGTTACTAGCTGTACAAACAAACATATATCGTGCGGGCGAGCACAGATACTGATACGTACATAATAAGGTTAGGCTTGGCTTCGTTTTCGTAAGAAATTGAATCATGCGACTTGTGGAGAAAATTGAGATATTTAAATTCTACCAAGGCTTTCCCAGGATATTCAGTAGAACAAATGGTATCGATCTCGATAGACGAATGTAATGATTCAAGATATCATCAATGTCGTTCCCATAACACGTAGATGATCTCATGCAAAGAGTTATTTTCTCTCTCTGGATCGTAAGTGTTTAGTCGTGTATATGTCACTTTTGACGGAAGAATAATGTTGACGCGACACAACACGAATACAGACCCTCGCATTGAAGCGATACCACTGAATCTCGTTGCCAGTGAAGACGGTCGAACGCTCCTAACGGTGACAGGTAAAGATTCATGGGTTTGACACAAGTTTCTTGAAATATAAAAATCATACAGATTCGCATCGATTTTGGTTCTTACAGAACGCAAAGATGGTACGTTAGAAATCGTCGCGACGCCAATAACTCTTATCGGACAAACCGGAACAACTTCGTTGGCCGCTGTAAGAAATCTTGATGAGAATTTAATGTCGTACGTGTAACATGAAAACTTATTCTTTGCCATTGTAGCCTATTCTACAAATAAGCTTAGAAGATATTGTAAATGAATCGGAACTTCAGTCGGCAACTCAAACTCTCGATATTGAGCCTGAAGCTGTCATCGAGCCGATGAAATTACAATCATGCATAGAAATAAAATACAGCAATATTGGTACGCACGAGAGTCAGTCTCTTTTGCAAAGCCCTTTACTGGCCATAGACAGCGAAAAAGATGATGGAAATTATAAGCCAAACGAGCCGATCGTGAAGAAAAATAATGCTGGGAGACCTAAGAAAAATCCAGACGTCCCTCTCAAAGTATAGAATTTCTATCGAATCACGTGTACTTTATTTCCTAACATCGATCTAATTTTTCGTCAACGTTAGGGCCCGGACAGTTTAAAGTGCGACATTTGCCAGCAAGAATTCGTTAAACAGTCCCTGTACCGAAAGCATATGGAAAATCACGCCGAGGAGAAGCCTTATAGATGTCCAAAATGTTCCGCGTCGTTCAACGTGCCGGTAATTTATTCCTTGATGCACGATGGTTTTTATCAAAGGTTTCATTGGATCAATTATTATTCTTACAGTCGAATTTCACGCTTCACATGGCGACGCACAATACGAGCGAACCAAAATGTCCAGAGTGCGGCAAGAAGTTCACGAGAATGGCTAGTCTAAAATCGCACATGTTGTTACATGAAAAGGAAGAGAACTTATTCTGCACGGAATGCGAGGATGCTTTCTCGACGAAAGTGAGATTAATATTCGCTATCTTTGTTCACTTAGAACGACAACGTGGTAATGGTGACGTTTGTAGGCACAATTGGACGCGCATTTGAAGCTTCACGGGGAAAAGTGGACGGTGGAGGAAGTGCGGAAATGTAAATTATGTAGTAAACAATTTAGTCAACCCGCTCTGTACAGGCTTCACATCCGTGAACATTACAGGGTAAGCCACTGGCTAGATATCGAACGGCAAATAAACAAACATGATTAATTGCGAATTGATATTTTTAGTTGAAGACAAAGATAGTGAAGCAAACGAAAAGAGGAACGAAACAGAAAATGATGTACAAATGTACGATATGTTTAAAGTCATTTCAGAAACCGAGTCAATTGATGCGACACATAAGGGTGCACACCGGTGAAAAACCGTTCAAGGTAACAAGATGTTCGTTAACGTAACGTGTTTTACAGATGGGTGAGACTTGATCTTTGCACAATTTCAAAGTGTACAGTGTGCGACCGCGCGTTTACACAAAAGAGCTCGCTGCAAATTCATACCTGGCAACACAACGGTATTCGACCTCATACTTGTGAACTGTGCAACGCGAAGTTCAGCCAAAAAGGTTGTCCACAATTTCTATTCGCATTCGATCAATTCGATCGGATCGTGTTTCTCAAGTGCCATTGTTTGCAGGCAATTTGAATGCTCATGTAATGAGGGTTCACAACGTACCGGAAGGAGAGTCTATATACGCGTGCAATTATTGCTCGTGCGTGTTTAAAAAGTTGGGTAGTTTGAACGGACACGTGAAACGCATGCATAACGACGCGAACGAGGTAAATCCTGATAATTAGAAATTACACGGATGTTGAATTACGTTGCGAACAACTTCTAGGAAGTCAATGGAAGTCCCGACGATGATCCCGATATTCGTGCGACCGTCGACACTGTTATAACGCAGCTGGAATCGCTTAAACAAGCCACGAATCAAACGTCGAAAATGTCTGATCCCGAAACGACTGCGTTATCGGAAACTATTGCGAAAAAAGATATTCTCCAACAAGCTTTGAAAAACAGTGGCCTTCCCAGTAAAAACAAAGCAACTGCCGAAGGTATGTATACTGTACGTTGTTGCATTACTTCGGTAAAATAATTTTAAACGGTTAGCGAAACTGTTTGATCTCAGGCACGGCAGAAACGAAAAAGTGCGAGTCTCGTACGAGTTTCGTTACGTTATTAGATCGATCGCCTGACGGTGGTGCAAGGTAATTCACCTTGTTTAATTAAAAGTTCATCACCAGTTCATTTACATAAGAACAATGTTTCATTGTACCATGTCCTCACAGGAATTATTTAACAATAAAGCAACGATGCGTAGGAAACGTTAGATGGTACTCGTGCACGTTTTGTCATAAAGAATTCAAGAAGCCTTCAGATTTGTTACGTCACCTGCGTGTACATACGCAAGAAAAACCTTTTAAGGTATAACACAGATCGTCTCGTAACATCCCTTTTCTTATACTGGTTTGTCAATCCTGCATTACACCTGTTTGTATATTTTAGTGCACGCACTGTTACCGTTCGTTCGCTCTGAAATCCACGATGATAGCGCACGAACGTACCCATTCGAACATTAAAAAGTACGCTTGCGGTTTTTGCGATAAAACGTTTGTCTGTCATAGCAGCTTGGTTGCCCATGCCAAGTGAGTGTCTTTTATGCACTGCGTGTACTCCGATCGTTAATTTCGTTTTTATTTGTATGACGTTTTAAATCGTTGACAGATCGCACAAAGAGTCGGACAAGTCTGCGGACAAAGATGCCGAAGTGCAAAACGGTACTCCTGCCTATACTGTCAATCAGTCGAAAGCCCAAGCGAAGGGTAAATCGAGATTACCTCTCGAAGCGGAAAATCTGTCTGAAGTGATTCTACAGGAACCGTTGGTGATAAGCGATACGGGGAACAAGATTTGCGTGGCGCAGGTACCCTCGAAGGAGAAACGCAGCTGCGACGGAAACACGGATCCCGGCAGGCCACACACGTGCTGGATTTGCCAGGCGGCGTTTAGGAAGATCAGTCATTTGAAACAGCATCACCGTCGCCATACCGGGGAACGTCCGTACAAATGCACAAAATGCGACAGGAGATTCACGTCGAACAGCGTTCTAAAGTCGCACCTGCACACGCACGAGGATTCGAGGCCGTACAGTTGTACCATATGCAGCGCGAGATTCTCCACGCAGAGTAGCATGAAGAGACACTTGGTCACTCACAGCAACAAGAGGCCGTACATGTGTCCGTATTGTCACAAGACTTTCAAGACGTACGTCAACTGTCGGAAACACATGAAGATACACAAGTACGAGCTGGCGCAACAGCAACGGCAGCTCGAACAGGAACGAATACAAGTGCAGGAACAGGATTCGATTGAAACAAGCTTGGAGTCGAGATCGAAACAAGAAGCTGTCGTGGAATCGTCTTCTACTTCTATCGCTAGCATCGATCCTACCATCGCCATCACTACCACTGCCGTCAGTACGCCCACAATCATCGCAACGTCTTCTTCCACGTTCCCAACGCTTTCTCGCCTCGGCCCAGTGGAATTGTCGTTTCAACCGCAACTCGGACCAGAGTTTTCCCAAACCTTCCCCGAGTTCCGTGCCGTGACCGAAGACAAAGAGAACGGGAGACCCGTTTTATCGTCGAACTGCGACGGAACCACGTTTATCAATGGTACTTATCGAAAGTCGACATCAAGTACAGAGTACAATTTCCTATTACTCTTTTCTGCTATCTTTCGTTTATCTTCTTTTTGTTTCTAGAAACCGCGTCGGATATAGCTGTAATGAATATTGAAAATTCGCAGATGTTGCACACCGACGAGACTGGCTCGGTGACGTTGCCCGTTTACTCAGGCGATCGGGCATTCACTCCGGTACTATACACCTACATACATATGTTACTGTATACAGGTGGTCGATCGATAAATCGGTTCGTTGTTTCATCATCAAATGCGTATTCTTATTTGTAGGAGAGCATCCGAGATATAGAGGAGACGTTGAACCAGCAATTGTTTAACATCGGGATGAACCTTAATCTCGGGAATCACAATTCGAAGCTAGTAAACGCGAGCGATGTTATTTGTCAAACGAAGGAACAACAGGAACCGGCCGTGCTGAACGTGATATACGAAAACGACAGCACCAACCGCAATGGGGAACCATCTGGCCACGTATTCTCGTCACAATTAGATTCCTTTGACATGGATCACATCGGCTTGCAAGTGAGATAAAAACCGTTGCCTGAAAATCGTGTTGAAGGCATTGGAACCGAAAGGATTTTGTCTTTCAGTCGGACGCGCATGAGATCGACATTGCATTGAATGCAACGAATCCGAACGACGTGACGAGTATGCTAACGCGGAGTTCGAAGCAGGAGCATCAGTTGTCCGTTTGCGTAGCGGCGTCTGACAACGCGAACGACGATAGAGAAGAGAGGTCCGGTATGCAAGCGGTAGTATTAATTTCCCAGGAAAACTTTGGGCCTGAAAGTGCCGCCGCTGAATTGGCAACGAAACAAACACAGAAGACTGATCAGCAGTGTACCATCGATCCAATATTTTTAACGTGAGTTTTTCTTGAATTCTGCGAATTTTAATGTTTAGACAATCGTCACCGCAATAAAATGCAGTTGCGTATATTCGATCGTAGAAACGAGCTACGGGAACCGACACAAGAGTTCAAGATCCGATCGTCCAACGTTCAAGAGATGGTTAAAACCGTCACGGGGAAGATATCTCGCGGAGAATCTCTGCTACAGTGTCATATATGTGGCCAGCAAGGATTCACAACGATGAGATTGAAAGTAAATTAATTTTTGTCTATTATTTAACGCGATTAAGCGTCTGTTTAAATCTACTTTTGTCTATAAGGAACATCTAATGAGCCATCGATACGGTGGAACGAAGGAGTATCAGTGTACGGAATGTTCGTCGAAATTTCTTGCAAACGCTGGATCACACAGACATTTGAAGACTCGTACTGACAAACAGTGAGTATCGACAGAAGTTAGAAGGATTTCTTATTAAAATCGATTCCTATATTCGTACAGATCATTCAAATGCCCAGCGTGCGAGAAGCGCTTTGACAAAAGGACAGAAACCCGGTCACAAGGTGAAAGTCGTACCACGTGGTCTGGAATATCTTCGGGAACAAACTGCGGGACGATGGGAGCAATCACGGATAACCGCACGGCTCTAGACAATATCGTTATCGATTCAGATTCCGCTGTTTCTGAAAAAGTCCTTTTAGACACAGTGGCTGAGAAAGAAGTCATGGATTGTGTAGAGGTACGTTTTCCACGCTCGATTCACCTTTAATATATATGATAATAAGTAAAATTTATTAGACCATCTTAATGGAGAAAGAAGAGCGAAAGGAGTACACGAACAAATGCAAGTACTGTCCGAAAACGTTTCGCAAGCCGAGCGATTTGATAAGACACGTGCGTACGCACACGGGCGAACGACCGTACAAATGCGACTATTGCAGCAAGAGTTTCGCTGTAAAGTGTACATTGGATTCGCATACGAAGGTTCACACCGGGAAAAAGACGTTCCGCTGCCACGTGTGCAACAGTCTGTTCGCGACCAAAGGCAGCCTGAAGGTTCACATGCGTTTGCATACGGGTAAGCAATCAACGTATAATGTGGCAGGTGGGTTTCTCGTAGATTCCCGTTTGATAAGTTTTCTCTTATGATTGCTAAGGTTCGAAGCCATTCCGATGTCCATTTTGCGATTCGAGGTTCCGAACGTCGGGTCATAGAAAAGTACATTTATTGAAACATACGCGGGAACATAAAGACAACCCGAAGAGGAAACCGAAACATATGAAAGTAGCGGCAGTGGCCCAAGTTGCGGCCGACCTAGAAAAGTGCAACAGCGAAGTAGAAAGGAAAGAGAACGAGGAGGCCAACAGGCTTGAAACGAAACATCAACTACTACAGATTACAGAAACGGCTACGGGAATCGGTCCCGACTTTGGGACGTTCAATATCGAAGCAACGGCACCTTGTTTGACGGATCAAATAAATTTGGATGCTGACGGTATCGTGTCGAGCAATGACCAAACGATAGTGTCGATAGGTGAAAGCAACCAATTGGTTACAAATCTGCATTTTCTTTTAACGGACGGACTCGTCGCTATACACACCGAGGAATCATTACCGCCGCAGTCGATCGGGAATCGATGCGAAGCGCTGAATCCAAATACTGAAAGTACCAACGAAAAAATGAACGCGGAACATACAGAAGAAGCATTGGAAATACCAGATATATCAAATAATTGTTTATTGAGCGAAGCGATGGCGAATACGCAGTTGGAGCCGATTTCGAAGGCACCCGGAAAAAAGGAAGCGAGGCCAGAAAGGTCGGGGACGAAAGGGAATTCGAACTCGAAGAAGGAGTGCGATATCTGTGGAAAAGTGTTTACGAAACCGTATCAAGTCGAGAGGCACAAACGAATTCATACGGGAGAACGGCCGTACAAATGCGATCTCTGTACGAAATCGTTCGCCCAGAAATCGACGTTGCAGATGCACCAAAAGCATCATACCGGAGATCGCCCGTATGCTTGTCCCTATTGCGAATACTCGTTCACGCAGAAGGGAAATCTTCGAACACATGTGAAACGTGTTCACCAGTTGGACACCGTCGACCTGAGAAAGTGGAAACGAACGCAGCAATCGAAGCCCATTGTCGAAGAGGACGCGATCGAAGTTAAAAGTCTAAATTTGGACGACATATCGTTCGTCGAATTTCTGAAATAATGAAAATAACAATAATAATTGCAGTGCTACCGTTGTTCGATAGCTCGATCGAATGGTCCGTCTATTAACGATGCAATTACAAGCTGTCGTGAACGAACAATAGGGGGCAATAATAATTCATTACGTTTTCCTGGTGTAAAATAAGTACCGTATTATATAGATAGTTGAACGGTTAAATTCGTATCGTTTCGCAACGTGCATTCGCACGATTTGTATATGAAAGTGAAAATAAATTTTTAACGCGTAACGCTGCCAATTAAGAATGGCGTGTTCAGCAGACTACGTACCGTTTATACATGTACGTATATACACTGTGTCCGAATCAATGTTTGAAATTGCATTCCGCTTCGGTTGCCGGACAACCGTCCGGGTGATTCTCGTGAAACCAGCAGGGCTTCGTCTTGGTTCGCGGAGAGATCACTCTTCTCCTTTTGGGCCTCACCTTAGTCTGTAGCGTTCCAGGTATTCTGAACGCGACTCTTCCTTGGGCAACGGAAAATATATAGCTGTGATTCTTGAGCAAAGTCTGAAGGCCTCCGCATTCATTTCTCAAACGAGCGATGACATCCTTCGGGATCGATTCGGCGATTTCGCGTAATTCGAGGCATCTACCTGCGTTCCAAACCTTGCCCGATCCTTCGAGTACCGTCATGCGACCTCCGTGAAGTAACTGCTTCGATACCGTGTCAACGATATCTGCGATCAACGTTTTATCCAATTGGGTACAGTTCCTCACCTTCTCCACTGTGTCTCTCGGTTTAAAATCGCAGTTCCACTCTTGGATTTCTCTACTGTTCTGTGTTTCACTAGCTTCTGTTTTTTTTTTAGTCAAAGTCGTCTTCGCGTCCAACATTCGCCGAATGCGATCTTCCCGAGCTATCGTTTCCTCGTTCGTTCTTTGCCAACCGATCAGACATACACGTTTCGTGGAAGGTATCCTTAATTTATCGAGGTGCGTCGTGAAACCGCATTCGGTGCACACGTCTTTCACGTAATCGATGTAGTCAGAGTACTGACTCTTGGAAGCAGAGGTTCTCTGGTACTTGGCACCGTTAAGTTCGTAGGGACAGCAGGGTAGAAGAAAAAATCGACAAGTGTCCGAACTACGAGCTGCGATCACTGGAATCCACGGGGTCAGCTCGTCCGAATGGTTCCCAATGATCCAATCCACTCCCGGATACACCGTCGAGGAAGACGGGATGACCGTGGAAACTTGTAACGGTGTTTCGGGCGGGTACATGTCCCAAATCTTCCTTTTTCGCAGATCTATTCCCAGGCCAGCGTGACCCTCGCTGAAGAGAATGTACACCAACAAACCGTTGCCACATCCCAAATCGACGAACGACTGTAAACGATCTGTTCCCCTCTCCGATCGATCCTTCTCCCATAGCAGAAGCAAATATGCAGCGATCGCTATGTCTTCGTAGACGAATTTCATCGGATCCGTGTTCTCGGGCCAGTTCTCTATCAGCCGTTTCCCATATTTCTCTTTCAGTTCGCAGTACAGTTTCGCGTACTTCTCTGCTGATATCAGATTCAGGGAGGACAGGGGCATCGATGTAATTTTCTTTTCACTCTTCGCCCACTTCGATATACTTGGGAGAAGTTTCTTCTCCAACCAATCGATACTAGAATCTTTCCTAATGTTTTCTAACTGGTATACGCTGACAGAAATGTGTCCGTTCGGCTCCTGCTGTAACATAAACGGCATTCTGGGACCGAGGGACTGCTTGTCCAACGAGAAGGGTTTATGAATGTTCATGCAAATTCCTTCATCTGCGAGCAAGAGAAAGTCGATGCCCACAGAGGACGTACGCGGCATACGTGGTAGCTGCTTCGCCACGTACAATCGAACTCCTTTATTCGTTGTACCTGCCAAATCCTCGATGGACAAAGTCTCCATTAACTTTTTGATATCGATATCCTCTTTCTGATCATCCTTGGTTAATAGTACGATGTCTAAGGTGATAATGCGCTGAAAGAGTTTAAAGATATCGAGGTCAACTCTGACATCTAACAACTGAACAGATGCGAGAATTCTCCGGTTCACGGTTTGAGGATAACTCCGCCAAATATCGATGGCCTCGATAAACTGTGGTACACTGGCACCGTTCTCCATCCGCGTTACTCTTTCAAAATCCATGTCTCAAACTTGTGTTCTCTACTTGTTTCACGAACTTGTCTCTAAGATATCTCTTGCACCATTCAGACTATTTCGTTTGTCCCTTCGTTCCTTTCGACTTGGTATACTGTAAAACCTCCGTGTTAAAAGACCAGTTACCGAAACACAGATTACCCTTAAAAATACCTTGTCAACGATCCATTCCGCGTCCTTCACAGCCTTCTCCATAATCTGGCGAACGCGTTCTTGGTCTGGTTCAATCACGTGTTGCTTAAAGCTCTGTAAGCAGCCAGATGAAAAGGTTATCCACTGCACGTGACAATCGTGAAAATCAAACAACCAAAACATTGCTTTGTTCGACGAACTCTTTGCCCAGCTAAAGATTCACCTGCTTAATCGAATGCTTGTAAAACCACTGTGCATCCTTCGGCAATCTTTCGCATTCCCTTAATAAAAATTTGTACAAATGTCTCGGCGACTTTAGAACCGCATCTCTTAATGTTCCACTAGCCATTTCTGCTCAGATCTTAATGTTTGCAATATCCGACGAATTTGTTGATTCAGAGAACAATCGGTAAAAAGTTCGAACTCGTGTAACGAGTATTTTGAATATAAATAGATTTTGATTGGGTAAATGTCAAGTGTTTGGCGGGAATAGGTATTCGTTCTACACGTTCTACGTTGGGCATTTAAATTCACGATATATGAATGCACAACAGAAATACTTATATGTCGAGAAGTACAGTTAACAGAGGAAACTTGAGGACGTCCAGGTGTCGAGGCGCTACCTTCTTTATGCCCTTCAGGAGTAGTAAAAATTGTATAGGTTACAGTTACTTCCCTAATCGGCATTTAGTCAACGAACGTAGATGGTAAATTCAAAGCGTTATGATAAATTTACATCGGCACGTTGTGAAAACTTTGTCGAAACGCTGTTGGGCAATTCGACAGAGAAGTGACTCGAGCGGAGTATACCCGACTGCCGGGATAATCGGTAATAATCTTCAATACATTTCTCTTGCTTCACTCTTATTCCTCAAATTTATTTCACAACAGTTATCGGAGACGAGATACTGAAAGCTCAGGTGAAAGACAACAATTGCTTCTACGCCTGCAAACTACTATGGAATAATGGAGTTAAAGTTCAGAAGGTAGATACTTTGATACACAGACTTTTGATAGATTATGTCGAACGCTACTGCAATGATCTTTATGTAGGTTTCCATCGTGCGAGATAATCTTATGGATATTTCAAGAGAGGTACAGAAGTTTACGAGGAAATACAATTACGTTTTCACGTCTGGTGGGATAGGACCGACTCACGACGATGTCACGTATGAAGGTCGACGAAAATATGTTTTAAACTCATGGAATTGTAATACTACTGTACTTATAATAACTTCAGTATTTTAATTTAACAGCTATAGCGTTAGCTTTTAGTGACAAGCTTCATTATCACCCAACGCTGATGGATATCATAAAGAATTACTTCGATGTTAAAACTCCTAATTCTCCTGCTTTCAAAATGGCATATGTAAGTAACGACAAGCTTAGTAATGAATCTATGATATCGAAATTAGTCCTGTTTTTTTTGTTTAGATACCAAGTAAATCTGTACTCAAATTTGGCATAAATCAAGACACAGGACAAACCCTTCCTTATCCATGCGTCGCAATGCAAAATGTTCACATTTTCCCTGGATCGCCAACATTCTTCGAGCTCTCGTTTCGAGCTCTGTGCAAAGTACGTGCTATCAAATCATTTGCCTAATCATAGTTTTACTCTTCTGTTCTAATGCGCACTATCTCGTTTTTGCAGGAACTTTTCGCCGATAACAAAAGTTTTGCAGCAACAGAAATTTACGTAAATGCGAGGGAGGAAGCGTTCGCGGATATATTAAGCTACGTCGCGCGAGAATGTCCAAACGTTAGCTTAGGCTCGTATCCGGAACGTCATAGGTAAACGAGTGGGATCGATACGATTTCTCCTCTGTAGACATAGTTAAACATTTCTAATCATCTCGTAGGTATTACAAGGCGCGCGTAACCATTGAGAGCGAGAACGAGAAGAATATCGAGTTGGCGAAAAAATTGTTTTGCGATCGCATCCCGAGTAACACTATAGTGCCCTACGATCGTACGCCGCACGTCGCCTGTATCGCCAAGTACGAGTCGTTCATTGAAAACTCCGAGCGTCGGTCGGTTTATGAGGGTTGCTTCAAGAAATTCGTGTAATGCCTCTTCAACTGGAAAAAGTATCGATTACTCGTGTCGATTATAAGGCGGCCACGAATTCTCCTTTGTTTTCTCTCTTTTTTTCTGTTTTCCTTGTAGAGATTACTATCAGAAGCCCGAACAAGTATGCATATATTTGGACGGCAGCCAGGAATCTGTCGCTCTCGTACACCTCGCACGTGTCGTCGATGATAAACTGCGACTGAATTCGAGAAGCAAATTGCACGCGGTTTGCTTGGACGTTCTCACATTGGGATTGAATCATTTTCTCCGTGAACTCTGTCAGAGGTTCGTATCGAAAGTACTTATGAGTACAGTAACAAGTGTACTGACTTCGATTCGACCGGTAGATACAACGTCGAGTTGTCCGTTGTGGAAGACCACGGGGACGTCGGTTTGACGATAAAAAATTTCGTCGCAACGAGACCAGAATGTCGAGTGCTCTTGCTTGGGAAACGGTCGGATGGCAACGAGAGAGAAGTTTATAATAATTTTTCACGATTAAACGACGCGAATTTGCCCTTGCAAGTATATTTCCCTCTGGCCGATTGGACGAACGAGGATTTCTCGCATTTCTGCCAGTCTCTTTGTATACCTTACCATACGATAAAGCCTTAATCGATAAGGGCTGATTCATGATTTTTTTTATTCTTCTTCGACTGCGTACAGTCGTGAGATTTCATATGAAACTTGAGAAATAGAAAGATCGTTTAGAACTGCGAATCGGATACCTAAGTTCGTGTATGTCTATAACAGATTGTCATACATTTGTTGAAACGAATAAAAAACCGTCTTCACTGTTCTCGTTATATTTCAACTCTATTGTCGCGTAAGATACGATGACGCGGTCCATATTGGTATAGATGAATTATCGAAACAAGTCTTAGAAATGAAATTTCTATTGGCGTGTACAAAGAAGGGATATACGGAACTCGAGCGGTTAAAGATTGAAAACGATAAGAGGCAGCATCGAAGAAAGAGGCAGGAAGTGTAAGGGATTGCGTAATCGCGGATGAAGGTGGTCGGGATGAAAGAAGGACAGTGGTAACTGTAGCGGTAATAGCGACGGTGGTTGAAGGTGGTTGTAGGCGGCGGCGGCGGCGGTGGTGGTCGATGGCAGCGGTCGCGTGCTGGTCGCGTGCCGGAGGCGGAGCCAAGCTCGCGTGCCACCTACCTCCACCCTAAAGTTCGCGGTCCCTGTTGCACCCTACCCGCTGACACCCACCGACACCCTCCGAGGTGAGCTCTTCTACTCAACGCGACGCCCCTCGTCGACGCTACTCTTTGCTTCCTCGCGTTCTCCTCGCTCTTCCGTCCCGCGCCTTTCCGCCGCCGCCGCCGCGCTGGTTCCCGAATCCTACGGTCGCTTCCTCCTCGGTTATTGATTCCCTTGGGTAGCTAGTCCCGAAAAGGGTGCTAAAATAGGATGAGGACGATCGAAGGAACGAAAGAGAGGAGGTTGTACGTGCACGTTTACGCGTACGTACATCAACGTTAACACAGTTTCGAATCGAAACGAACCATTCTTTTGTTTCGCCTCTTTGTCGTGCCGTAAATATCCAATTTTCTCTTACGTCCCGACTTATACAGCTATCGCACTCATCGATCAGTGTGATGTAAATATAAAGAACTGACGATGAACATGATTTCCTGAAAAGTTTCATGCGTACAAGAAAGAACGGCGAAGTCTATGTCGATAGAACTGTCCGCTGTGTGAAAGGATAGCTGATGTAAGGACGCGGATACGATCAAACGAACCTCGCGACGTCAATTTATTAAATTTCCTTGATTTATCCTCGACATTATCCATCTCTGGAAGCTGTTGTTTGCACAAACTTGTCGTATTGAGAGCATCGCTCTTGAATCTCGAAACTTTGCAAACTCTCCGTCTCTTCCATCGCCCTCGCCCTCATCACCTCCTCCTCTCTCTCTATCTCTCTCGTTCATCTGCTCCTACTCGGTCGTCTTCCCCGTTGTAAGTCCGTTTTCTTCATCGCGCAAACTTCCACACCGAAGATACATGCACGTAGATGCATACGTAGATGCACAGAGGCAGAATTTACGCGTTCGTCAAGCGTACGCGTCCTCCCAGAGATCCCATCCCCGGTTCGGTTCGTTCCCTTCCTTTCGGTTTTCCTCGTTTTTGTTCCGACGCTGTCCGGAGTTGTCGTTGCGATTCAACAGTATAACCCATTTTACTTTCGAAAACTCAACGGATCAATACCAACGGGAATGCGACGAAGACGGAGAGGAATATTGCGCGGGAGGAGGAAGGAACCGCGTCGCGGGAACGAAGTCGCTGGTTCATTCTTCGCGCTATCGGTTCTCGGATTCCGATTTACCGTCAAAGGTCGATCGACCGATTAAACATCGGCGGTCGGTTGGAAGTAGCGCAGCGCATACCCGAATCGATGAGAGATCGAATGTCCCTCGCCGATGGAGCGCAAAAACCAGCAGGCAGAGACGATATGAAAATACGTATACGTACACGGCGAGGTCGTGGCAGCAACCGAATCTTCGAAAAGAGTTTCAGGTTGCGGCACGAGACTGTCAGCTGGCGAGCAGACCTCCACCTCGCTTCTTTTTCTTTCTATTCGTATTTATACCCGTCCTGTTTCTTCCTTACGCGTGCAACACCCTTCTCGAGTGCACCCAACGTCTTTTTTCCCTTCCGTGCTCGACTGACCTTTGCTCCTCCGGAGACACTCGTCCCCTTCGATTTTCGAGTTGACCCGAATCTCTTCTCTTCACGCCTGTCGAAAAACGAATAGAAGTAATCGACGTCGTGCGAAGCGACAATTCTCCAATTGTTTTACCTGGCTGATGGAAGATCGATGAGATCGGCGTACTTCGGATTTGGATGGATAGACGGCGAAGACAAATTTTGAAGAGGAGCGATTTTTTTGAACGGCAGAGTGGATCGCGCGACGTTAATCGCGATCATTTTGTCGCTGGCGAACCAGTCGACCGAAAGGAAAACTCTTTGTACGCGGAGGTGATTGATGCGAAATTTCTTTTAAGAGATTAGACGATGCTCGATTTAACTGTACACTTCGTTTCGCTTCGGCGAACGCTTCGATGAAGCGCGCCCCGTATATGCATATTACGTAAAACGTAGATACACGTACGTGGAATATTATTTATTAAACGAGTTAAAACGGGACGTATGAAAATCACGCGCAAAAGCGGCTTGGAATTAAAGAATAACAGCCGTATATCAATCGCGTGTAACCGGTCTCGTAAACGCTCGATGTTTCCAATACAGGTGTAACGTATAGGCGGTAACAGTTTCATAATTGTCGAGTACCTTGAAATTATCGGCGATCGTTTCGCCGCGAATATTTTCATCGGAGTTGTTTTATATTCCGACGTAGATAGAATCGCGAGTAAAAGGAACGTTCGTCGACGATCGGATCGGGCTGAAAAGAGAAGAGAGGTGTCGGTGATTGGCATCGATTAAACCGCCGTCGATGCTCTCCAGATAATCCCATTCGGAATAGCGGCAGAGAAGAGAAAATTGATAAAGAGCATTACCGGGTACAAAGTTATAATAATACATGTCTGATGATTGATGATTAATAAGGAGGAGCGTGTCCGACACCGGATTCTCTGTATCATGATTACCACGTGCAGCTGGACGAGGAGGAGCATCTGAAAAGGAATAAAATAAATCGATTAAATTGGAAAGAATCTCATTGGGAATTTCATAAGAGAAAATGGATCGATTTATGGACGAAGAAAGAGAAATTGATGAAAAGTATCAAGAGTTATAATATCTGACAGAATAAGGAGGAGCGTATTCGATGGTCGATTCCCTGAGTCATGTATATCACGACGAGCTGGACGAAAGGAAGCGAGCGAAAAGGAGCGCGGAGGGTTGAAATAAGCGACGGTAGGGAATCGCGAGTCGCGAGGTGCGATACGCGAGGCAAGAGGTACCAAGAGAGGACGAGTACGAGAAGACTGAACCAGGGAAAGAAGGGAGAGGAAGCGGAGGAACACGCGGATATTGATTCCCGTGGGATATGCGCGCGCCCGACGACGGGCCACTCGGAAATCTAAACGTATGTACGATGCTTTCACGGAGAATCGAGTAGGTAACTCTACAGAGAAATTTTCGCATCCGTCCGGTGGAAGAGGAGACGGAGGACCGGCCCGTGCCAAAACGCTCTGCCGTGGATCCCGTGGTTACCCAGCGACTTCGGTATCGAATCGATGCGATCGATGCTAAGCTCTGGTACTGCTTAACGTCAAAGAGCACCGATACGTGCATCATCATTTGGATAAGCATCATTACGTAGGTGCTTCTACGAAACAGTAGATGATACATCGAAGAAGCATCGAATCTGTGTACATAAAGAAAGATATTTCAATGCGATATCACACGCGTATGAAAATATTTACAGCTTGGGACAAGACCCGAAGATAGTAATTGAGCATTGACAAAATCAGGCGTACTTTGTTGTTTCAATCTACACGTGTACACAGAATCTCAAGTAATACATAGCCCCTCGCTGTTGTTCCACGACTGCGGATTTTATGCATTTATAAAACAACCGGAAGTACGAACGCTGCATGTGACGCAGTGTACAAAATATAAACAGCGAATGTAGATTGCGATCCTTAGATGATAAAGTTGATTGCAATCGACATTCTCTTAAGTGACTGTCTTACATCGAATAAAAATCCGCTGTCTATTTATGACACCCATTTCCTAGGAAGCTAAGCGCGTGACAACGGCGGTTCACGCGATGGTCGAAGAGCCGTGACAATGGGTAAGGCTCGCGTGGATAGCGGCGTTACTTACGACCACAAACCTAGCTAGCGACTCAGTCATCACCACCGTACCGAAACCGAAATCACTACACTACCACTATGTGTCTGCCACTACTTGCCATTACCTACCACCACCGGCCGCTATTTACCACTACCGTTACCACAGCTGACGCCGCCACCTCCGGGACCTTCATGAATGAAACCCACGTGCGATCCACGTGACCGTTCAACCCGCGTTCAATCCGCAATTTCTATTTGTCTTTTGACCCGGACTACTTGGTCGCGTATCGACACCGATCACCGACGTCCCCATCGATCGGCCACGGCGCAAACGTCGATCGAACGAACGTTAGGACATCCTGAGCCACGACTCTTATTTACGGTATCCTCAGACAGAGATTTTCCATTCCGTACAACGATTTTCATTTGAAAAGCGTAAAGGCAAGTTGAATCTGTGATAGGTATCGTTCGGTTCTTAATTTCTTGTAGGTTTCAAAGGAGAATAGAGTTTCGTATGAACCTCACGATTTCGAACGCTCGACGCTCCGACGAGAATTCTATTTTATCAACTTCCTTCGTCTCGACTTAATTGATGCATCGGGAGCTTCGGAGTTTGGGGCATGATTCTGGCAAACAGATAAATAATCGTGAAGCAGAATAATGGGAAAGAGAATTGTAACTGACGAAAGACAGAGGAATAAAAGGGGACACGGAGTAGTGTCACCGTTTACCTCCACTACCGTTTCATCTTCACCCCCACTTGGCAAAGTATTACATCCACTAGCAGACAGCTGGTACATACAGACGTGTACATACGTATATACATATAGAGATTGGCGGCGGTGGCGGCAGTGGCAGCGGTGGTGGCGGTGGCGGCGGCACCGACGTCACGGTCGTCCTCGTTGGTGCTTTCGCTCTCAGCGCCGACGTTCCCCTAGCCTAGCCGGTACCGAGTGACTACCGGTGCGCGCAGTCGGTCCGAGCGCTCGGTCTTTGCTGGTTAAACAGTAACAGACATTCCATGCTCCGTTCGTAAACGAGAAATTGCATAACACGGAAAGCACGTGCTATCCGTGGGTTCGCCACGGTCGATTCGCGATCGGCTTATACCGAGGTTCAGTGCAACCAAGTGCAACCGAGCCGAGTTAGCTGGACACCGAGGCAACGTGCACACGACTGTACGCACGCCGAGTACCAAGTATCCGTTGCGTACGTAAGAAAGCGAATCAAGCGGCGAGCCGTGGATAAGTCGGGAGGCAGCATCCCGTGAACGTTGAGCGCGTTATGCTCCTCTGCGATCCGATCGTCCGGTTAAAAGGCTCGTGTGTACGATCCCGAGGCGGGGACGCGTGTTCAAGAGAGTAAGACCACCGGGCACAAATTCGATTTCGCTTCGAGGCACGGAGAACGGGCAGTGGATAAACACGGGTAGATGCTAGAATCAGGTTGCAAGTGGCACGTGCGCACCGTACGTCGGTGTAGTGTACACGCGCTCGATCGCCCGGTCGATTCGATCCGGTGATTCCGGTTGCTTAAACTGTTCGCATCGAGAAGAAGAAATCGAGGAAGCGGAACACGGGACTAGCGGTGTAGAAGAAACAGAGGTACTAGGAGGCAAAGGAGAATAACAGGAGGAGAAGAAGAAGAAGCAGGGTAGCAAGGAACGCGGTGGTCACGGGGGGACGATGAGCGACGGGATAGTCGGTGCCATCGCGATCAGTCTGTTCGGTACTGTTCGGCCGCCGCGCCGTTTTTTTCACTCACCATCCCTCGGTGGAGAATTTTCACTGACGGAAGGCTCGTTCTAGGCAGCGAGAAGAAACGTCGGGACAGCATGGACGCCGGTTACACGATCCTTGGCAACGACGTCGACGTATGCAGAATGTTCGACCAGTTCTCCTACAAGGTCAGTTTCTTCGAACGAGATGCTTATTCTGTCGCGCTGTAGATCGATGGTAAACTTTAAACAATGGTATCTGCCGATGTATCCTCGCTATGAATTTTATAGGAAGCCGAGAAGTAGTCGTAGTCCAGATTTTATGCCTCTTCTTTTCGTACCTCTCGCTTGGAGGTCTGAGCGATGGCATGCATCTCGCTAGTCTTTTCGGGGCGTACCTCGCCTCTTTTTTAGCAGTTCCATCCGAGAAGCTGATATCCATAAAAGAATAAAAAAAAAACGTATATTGAAATTGCATAAAAAAGCTTGTATATGTATGTATGCGCGTATGGGTAGAGCGAAACGTTTACATACGTATAATGTATGTATCGTCGCGGCGGCGTGGAGCAAAAATGGAAATCCTCGTAATCGCCGAAGCGCGTTAAGTAAATTCGTTTCGAGCGAACAGCGATGATTGCATTCGCTTATCGCAACGTTTGATTTCGAGTCTGGCTATTTGATGAAAATAAATAGCGCGTGTCTCATTCTGTTCCCATTGATTCTCACTACTTTTTTCACCAAACGTTCGCCCCCAAATGATGAAACTCGCGGAGCCGTACCGAGATCGACAAATTCGGAATTGAATCCCAGACGAATTCACAGTATCGCCGTAATGGTGTTACGAGTTTCTCGATTTGATTATTCGAGCTAATCCGAGCGAGTCGAAAAATCAGGCGGACGGAAGTAGAAAATGGATCAAGGTGCTTTCTCTTTCGCCGGTAGATTTCGTGGAGAAAGTGTGTCGTATGATCGCGTACAAGATTCGAATCGCTTTGATTATTTCGGTGTATTAACCGAGAGAGTGTGAGAGAGAGAGAGAGAGAGATAGATTTTCGCTAATAGAACACGGAGAAGGGGTGGGTGTAGTAGGGGGTGTTTCAGTGGCAGACCGCATCGGACGACGGTCAGGCAACGGGTACGGGAACGGGCCGGGACCAGGGTCGGTCGCAGAGCCACTGACAAAATCATGAGCCACTTGTTGATCGGCCAATGACCATTCGGGCATCCTGCCGCTCGCAGTAGGATCGCTCGTCGAATCACCCTGCCTTTTTCGTCCCATTACGATATGCATCTACGGGTCTGTCAACCAATTTTCGCAAGATACAGTAACGATCATCGGCCGACGAGGAGCGTAGCACAAAATTAGTAACAAAAAGGAATTACCAGTCATTGCAAACGTCTCAGCTGGCACGTATTAAGTCAGTCGCATCTTGTTTCGAGCCAGGCACGAGCTTTTGCACCGACCCAATAATCATTGTACAAATAATAGAAAGCCACGCGCGCTCCGACGTTCTATTCGCTTACCTGCAAATAGAATCGTTGTAAAAGGAATTGCGCTATAAGGATATAATTTGATGTACTTTCCGCCGGAGTATTGGTACTGTTTCTCTTCACCCCCGTCATCCCCTCGCCCGTACCCGTTGTCCCTTATTTTCCCGACCCCCGACCCTATCATACCTACCCTGCCCCTCGGCCCCTCGCTCTGCTCCTCTACCCTTTCCATGATTTCCGAGCTCGCGAGAGCCAGCGAACCCGCGAACCTACCCCTCTTCCCTACCCCACCACCTCATTCCGCGTTCCCCGTACCCTCTGCCTCCCCCAGCGCCCGCACCCTCTTCGTAGTCTCAACCTAGCCACCCGCGAACCCTCTCTCTCTCTCTCTCTCGTTAAATCAATAAGCCATTCGGTCTGCCTGCCACACTAGCGGCGGGGCATTTTGTCCGATTTTCTTTCCCGGCCCGATTCGCTTTTCCGCGTAATCTGCACGGCGCGAGAAAGGGTGACAAGGTGAGAAGCGGCACGGACTCTCGCTCTGGGACCAGATCCATAGATTTGGAATCTCGACGTGGCTCTCGCTCCAGCGAGCTACTACCCCCGTCGCTCGTAGGACACGACGTCAACCTACGGAGAAGTATTAGAAGAATATATCGATGCTGGGGAACAGTAACTAACCGTGGATGAAGACTTCGGTAAAGCAAGCGAATAAAGCGTAACGGAGAACCGAGTTCGTTCGTATTCGAAAGTTTCGGGAGCAAACTCGGCTGCCGAGGTAGTCGAATACAATGGCCGGGCAGAAGTTTCCGCGAAACTAAACAAGTTTATTTAACTTACCTCGGCACACCGGTTCCCATTCCCATTCTCCCTCGACTCTTCTAGAGTCGCATCTCCACGTGGAATCTGCCCTCCCCAACCCCCCTCGCCCTCTTCGTCCCGCGGCCTCCCTGCACCTCCTGCTCAGCCTCCCTTCAAATACGCTTCTTCTTCTTCTTCTTCTTCGCCTGTCTTTCTCCTCTTCGGTCCCTCTCGTTTCACCTCATCTCATCTCATCTCATCTCGTCTCATCTCGTCTCGTCTCATCCCGGTTCCTCTCCAACTACTATCCTCTCCTCCTTCACTTTCCACTTCTCCGGTTATCCTACTTGCACGGACCCGCCCCTATACCTGCAATAACGGCAAGTTTTCCGAAAGTTCCCGACAGATTAACGACTATTGGAATTGTTCGAGTTATGGAGGAGCGCGAGCGCGAGAGAGAGACAAGGAATACGAGAGATTGCGAAACCTCTGCTCGGCGAGGAAAAAAAGAGTAGCCGGAATTCCGTCAAATTGTTGTCAACGATAACGGGGCAACAACGGGATGAAAGGGTGGGAAGAGAGGACCTTCCGATTTCGAAAGGAAACGAAAGCTGAAAGAGGACCGTGACTGTTTCTATGCCGGGGTATACATACATACACGTGTACGTGTGCGTCCATGAAATGGGATACAGCTGTACATACGTATGCCTGTATATCTTCTTTATGGCGACCATTAACATATTTTTTGCTGTACGTATTATCATACAATAGTGGCGCAAATATTACAACTTACGGTCGTAAATCAAAGTGCGGGAAGGGGTGGCCTGGAAGACGAAATGCCGGGAAAGAAAGGGAAAAAGGACAGAAATAGGAGCGAGGAATAAGGAAAAGGAGTTAAGGGAATGGGGACGGGGGATGGGAATGGGGACGAGGACGGAGACGGTGGAGGCGCGGGACGAACGCGGAGCAGCGGCGGCGGCGGCGGGGGGAATATTAGAGATATCGGAATTATAGTGGAAACCAGTTTGTAAGTAATACGACTCGGTACGATAAAGTGAAATAAGTAAATTCTTTACTATTGACTGTGCAAGGTCGTTGACACCTACGTTGCCCAACTTGATAACTGGCCGAGCCAGGACACATCGCCGTCGTTCCAAAGTGGAACGACGGTGACGCAATTGCGAGATTGCAAATTTTTCGTGGTACGTGTCATTAGGTATTAAAAATCGTTACTGATACACACGTGCATACACCGAGTGCAATCTAAATTGTGCGTTCGACGAAGTGTAGAAAACTTAATCCGTATCTCGCCTGATAAGAGTGGCACGACGGGCATGGCCCAGTGATAACGCGCACGCATGGTTCCGGATGCAAACGGGTTTAGATAACGCGTAGCCGGGTGAACGCGATCTCGCGATGGAATTAAGAAATTGGTCGTTTCGTTTCGTTCTACGAGCAACGAAAGCGAACCAGCGGTGTAGCGAGGAGGAGGAGGAGGAGGAGCAGCAGCAGCAGCAGCAGCAGCAGGGCCGGCTGAGCTTGTATTCCTTCTCGGTGTTCCCCGGCGCATTAAAACGGAAACGTTGAAGAAATTTCAGATAATGTTCGATAGTAAATTAAGATATAATAACTTTCGTGAAAGTTGTACGACGGCGAAGAGATGGAAGAGAAGAAAAAGGCGATGGGATGGAGGGCGGTGGGACGAGGGGATAGGGAACTCCATTAACTTTTATTTCTCCGGGAAAGTAACTTTGCCCCTTCCCCCGTCAGTTCCCCTCCGCCCCTCCTAAGACAAGACGACCACCCACTGCCTCCTTCCGACCGTTCCTCTCATCCCTCTCGCGAACCACCGCCACCCCCACTGTTCCTCGTCCATTTCGACCGCCTCCGCCTCCACGTTCACCTCGGTCCCGCTTCTTCCAGAGGATGATTCCCCTCTGTTTCCTTGTTCCGCGCTACCACGGCTCCGTTCTCCTGCTTTGCCCTGCCTGGCTGCCTGGCTGCCTTACCTTCCGTCGCCCTGTCGCCGCTACACCTCCTCCAGAGTACTCTGGTGCACCGATGAAACTTTGTAAAGCGACTTAGTCAAACTTTAATAAATTCCTTCGTACAGTTTCAAAGCGGTTCTACGCGGGATTGCAAATGATTACGTTTCTCGCCTGGCTCTCCCTCTCTCTCTCTTCTCTTCCCCTTTTTTTCCTTCCCGCTCTCAAACGTGCACTCGAGATCTGTACAATAATTGCCTCGAAAATCTGGTACGAAGAATCTCGTCGAATCTAAAACGCGAGGGTCGCATACGCACATTCCCATGGCAACGATCTTGATCAGATAGGAAATAGCAGAACGGAGAACAGAGAGCGATCTAGATAATGCATTCGATACAGGTAATATATAATATCTATATATGTATATACTATATATATATGTACGTGGATGTATGTATACCTGTGTCTATACAGCGTTCCAGATACAATATTTATGGCTCGACGTATTTCGCTAGCAGTCCATTATTCATTCCGTAGCGGTGAATAAGCATTTCAGAGTATCGTACCGAGTTCCCTCCGCGCCGGTGTACGTGCATACATGCATGGCGCACGTACATATTATACATATGTACCGTGCGTTTGCGAATTCCTTAGATGCCGAGAGTCACTGTTCGACCAGCAAACTTTATACACCTTTGTACCAGGGCCGACAAAGGTGCGGGAGCTGACGCGAGCTCTTATTTTTGAATAGATGCGCTTTTTACCCGACTACTCTCGATGGGCATTTTGTAGCGCGCGTTAGAGGAAAGACGGTGCACGTACTTGCTCCGGGATGCGAGGGGATGGACTGGCGCGGGGTGAGAAAGGAGGGTGGGGCGCGCGTTGGTGAAACGGACGCGGAGTCATAGACGCCGTGAGCAGGAGGGTGAACGAGAAGGAGGGAAAACGGGAAAGGTGTAGAAAAGCGGAGAGGAAAGCTAAGAACCGTCCGATCCGCAGGGTAGACAAGATTCACACTTGTTGCTCCCTTCTTGGCTGTACGGTCTACGGCGAAAAGCTCGTTTATCCGAGGAATTCCCCGTGGTCAAAAGGTCATGTGCCGCGCGCACCCCCTTTTTTCCTCCGATCACCCGAATAGAATTCGTCCCGTAAACGTTTTCGCTCTCTCGGCGAGAGTACGAGCCGTGTCAGTTATTTCGGTTCACGGATCAGCCGTTTTCGTGCAACCGACGACGTCGTATCCTTGAACTGTTAAAGGATGTTCACATGAATTGTACACCGTGTCGTGTCGGCTCGTTTCCTCGTCACCGTCCTCCAGTTTTACCTACAATAAACCTCTGTTAATGTATGGAAATTGACGGTTGAAAATCTGAGAGATTCTTAGAAGATCGTTAGAAGGAGTAGATCGATTTTCGCTGAGATATCGTTGGTACACTGTTGTGGGTCGGGCCGTAGATATCCGATGGAATGGGTTGGAAAAAATTAGAACGAACGAAGAGGGAACGGGCGGGTAGAAGGGGAGGTCGCGGGAACGGAGAAACGCTCGCTTACCGTGACTGGTAATAAGAGATTTACGGGAGATAAGCGGACGCTCGCGTAATAAGTAAAACCGGTTTAAGAGACCGTCGACGATAATGCGAATCGACGCACACGCACGGGATAAAGATGGAACGGTGTGTCGAGAAGCGGAGGGCTCCCCCCTCCCCCCCCCAAGTGGAAGGGATCGTTCTTCGCGACTAACAAGTACTCACGGTGGGGAATACGCGAAAGTGCAAACATATGGCAGAAAAAGAGTCGAATCGATGTTAAACGACAAAAAGAGAAAATCTCTGTACCGCGACAGACCTCGGGCGATAATCAGCTGTGTAAACGTTCTCTCGGACAAGTTTGTAAAATCAACATTTGCTCGAGACGTTGAAAAGCGTGTTTAATGAATCTTGGAAGGAGCCAGGGTATGACCACGGTAATAACGGTAATAACGTCTCGCAGCCGATTTCCGCATGGTCAGTGCATGATTTAAGGTCTGCTCCAACGTCGGCCGTATCGGTGATACATGCGATGATGCATCCACTGTCACGTAGGCAGGACGTAATAGTAGAACGATGTAGATAATTGCCCGTGTACGTGCAGTATTTAAATATGTGCATGCTGACGTTTAACTACGAGTCCGGATCAATTTTTTCTAGCATCCGCGATGCGGAGGTATACGATTAAGAATCGTTTTGTCTCGGCAGTTTTTTGTAGAGCGCACCGAGACTAGGCTAGACCGTCCCGCGAGAGAATATCGATTCGGCTGCCGCGGCGGTCCGCCGCCACGACCGTGTGGTTTCTTTACCAAACCTCTTTGCTCTCTGATTCTTCCCCGAACTTTTTCTCAAACAGAGATCTATAACAACTCTCCTTCTTACGATACCTGGTACACAGAAACATATCAATTATCGCCTGCCCTTCGTTCTTCCGTTCTCGTTTCTTACACTCTCGCTTTCTACACTCGCGGTTACACAATTCCTTCAGCGAGAACCGTTCGTGGCCAATCGTAGTTTTCGTTCTAAACGTAGAAGAATCGTGTTCAGATCGCGCAATAGCCTGCAGCGTTAAAATAACTAATGTACCGTAGATATAGAAACACACGAACGCAATCGGAATGCCACTGATCATGAAATTACGACTACCTTTCGCCAGAATCTTACCTATTCTTTATAAACTTGGCCGCTGGTTCCCCACGAGCTACTGCCACGGCATATTCTGTTACCATCGCTGCCGTGTCCTACTTTCTTCGAATATTTGAGCACCTAACTGAGTATCGGTAGATAACGCGCGTTTAATAGCTACACGACATTACTACGACCATAAGTAAACGTGTACTTCCACGATTTCTACGTGCTGATCGAGCGTAACTCGGGTATATCGAAATTACCTTACCAGATTAGATCGAGGCGATTCGATCCATCGTCGTTTATGAGAGAGCGTATCGTTTACCGTTCTTATTGGGGAGTTATTCGTTTCTCACCTGTGGACACAATCGGGGAACACCGTCGTAGCATTCGATCTTGTTACATACAGGAGGAAAGTTCGTTTCGTCATGGTTTGCGCGCGCGTCATAGGTACGCCGCGAGTCGCGGTCCTCTGTTCGTCGGTTGCACCACCGGCCTCTTTCAATTTCAATCCTGTTTCCCTCGGCCCCGTCCCCTATACCTATTCCCCGGCCCCTCTACGTCTTTCGAGCCGAGAACCGAGCCGTTTCTTCTCATTGTCAGCCGCAGCGTAACGTTCGCGGCGCGTTATCTGGGCCACGGAACACTAATTTTACCCGTTTAATTTTAATTCAGAATGATACGGACACGAAACGTTTAACGACGACTCTGACCAACTGAACGTCGATGCAGGTTTCGACATCGATTCGGGATCGAAGGTATACCCGATTGTATTCGTTCCAAACTTCAGGCATAGGATGCAAAGTATGTACACAGAATCCGTGCATCAGCCTGAGAAATCAGAAACAACAAGCGACGCGCCCACTTCGAAATACTACGGTTCCCCGGGCCGTCCTCGTCCAATTGATTTTTTGCTTCCTCGTCGCGTTTATAGTTTTCCGCGAGTCATATCCGCGATTGTATGTATCCTCTTTATTTATTTAGTAATGCACGTATAGAAGACTTGGAAGGAGAGGAGGCGCGCGCGTCCACTCCCCTGTCGTGTCCATCCCCACCACGGGATCGTGGCACAAAACGAACCTCCTTGAATCATTCCCGCGCCGGCCACCGCGAGGAGCGCGTATCGTTTTTGCCACGCTGTCACCAGTTACGCCACGAGACGATCGCGACTCGTGTTTCGTTGCGTTTGGAAATTAATTTATGTTGAGTCGCCTTGCGTGAGGATCGGGCCCGTTCGTCGACGTTCGTTCAACGTGATCGGGGCGTGTGGTGATGTGAGAGCCAAGTGTCGGAAAGTGTTGTACCTGGATGATCGTAGGATCGCGTTTAATAGTTCTCGTTTGTTCGTTCTCGTACCGACTACGTCGTTTCGACTCTTTGATCGGGTCGTTTTCAATGAAGGAGATCGTGTTCCGAAGATAAAAACACGCGGTACGTTATTTCGCGGTGCACGTGTGTTCGGTAACCTGGCGACGCTTCGCTGATTCCACTCATCGGTAAGTCGGCGACGATTCACATTACGACGAAGAGCACTTTTCGCTCGTTTTAATCGTACTTTCTCTCACACCGAGTCACGATACGAGAGCAAACACGATCGTCCCGAGATTACGATTTTAATTTAATCGTTTGTTTGCTCTTGGGACATATTCAACCAGGTACGCCATCTGTCGAGCCTCGAGTCTCGATTCGATTCGGCGAGTAACGCTGGCTGTTGAATCCAGAAAACGATCACGCATCTTTTCGTTTACGAATCGTTTTTACAGATTCGACACGGTCAATTGACTGTAACGCCGTTTTAAAAGAGCGTCGACTATTTATCATGATTACTTTCTTTCGGCAATCGGGATTCATCGGCTAGGCAAGTAGAATTTATGTACGCCTCCTACTTGTTTATACCGAAAGAGAAATCGGAAAACAACGACGCGAAGCAACGTTGCGTTCGTGCGGTACATTTTTTTGGTGGAGCAGATGGATGGTAATGAACGATGGGTACCCCGGAGTCGGGTCTGTCGAAAGAAATGAAAAAAAAAAAACCGGGATTAAGAAAATGGAAAGGGTACGAGACGCGGATTACAAATGGTGGCGATGTCGGCGAGAGGCGCTGGGACGGGGAACAGGTTTAACATCGGTTACTTACGCCGAGTAAGAGACTCGTTTGTGTATATCTATTGGATCTCTGCTCGCTTTCGCTTTACTCCTCTGTTTCTTGTCACGGCCGCCGTTCTCTTCATTCGATTCCTCTTCCCCGTGTTTACCAACTCCGTCCTTTCACGCGTTCTCAATTTTTAATGTCTGTCGCGTCGCATTGTTCGAATTTGATATAGTTTCCGAGATTGGTTTTTTGCTCAACCAAATCTCGCGTATTCTTCCTTAATGAATGAAGAACGCAGCAGGCGAATATGAGAAATTGAAGACGAGAAAGAAACGTTTGTGAGAGCGTCATGAAATCCTCCTTTATTATTCGTTGCTCGCGATTTGAATTTCCTTGCTCGCCGTCATCGTCTACTTACCTATACACCTATCTACCTGTTCGGTCCGTTTGCCTGCTTGCTTACCTGTCTACCTACCTACCAACCTATCTACCTACCTACCTGCTTGCCTGTCTCCCTGCCAGCCTGACCGCTTGCCTGGCTGCCTGCCTGCCTGCTGTTACTTCTGTTGGAAAAAGCAACGTCGTACACGTTACCATCTTTCTTCTCTCTTCGCCTTGAGCATTCTTTCATTGTCGCACTAGCTCCCTGCATCCTTTGTGCAGCTTTTCGGTTTTCAAACAGGTTTTTAATGTCGAGTGTTATTATTTCGATAACTGTCACTTGTTGTTCATGAAGAAAGCGGAAAAACGCAATGGCCTCTCCTAATGACACGATTTCGGACTTCCGTGAGGGATCACAAATGTATGGACCGAAGTTTACTATTATATAGTACTAACAATTAGTCTCTTATTAGACTTATAATCTTTACGTGTCTTCTTACGACTTTTCTTCTTCAGATTGAAAACCCTAGAGAATCGCTTCTCTCTTTTACAACCCTATTACCTGCTCCGAGAAGTGTGGGAAGGTCGGTCGAAGGAGCAGATGGCAAGAAACGGTTATTAACAGAGAAATAACAAGTCGTGAAATCGAGTTTTCGAGAGGAGCGCGCGCGCGCGGCGCGCAGCGTAGATTGAAAAACAGGGAGGAAATTTGTAAGAAGCACTCGAATCGGGTGGTATGCAGCGCGATATAGGCGGGCTGCGCGGGTCGATGACCGTAGAGTAACGCGAATAACGTGCTTTGTTAAGGGCAGGTGTAGGAGACGGCGTTGGTGGTGGTGGTGGCGGCGGTGGTGACAGGGACGAGTAGAAAACGAGGGCGGAGGAATCGAAGCCGCACACGAGACGACTAGAATATGTTCCGCTCGTCGAGACTTGAAAAGAGCGAGGAAAAAAGGAAGGTTGCGACACGTCCTTAGTGTACGTAACAGCGATCGCGTGACCGGGCGTCCCGTCCCGGAATATTTTGCGAATCGGGATACGGACGCGCCGCGTCGAGGTGGGGTCCCGCATGGCGAATATCGCGTTCTCTTTGGGGACCTCGAGCGGCTCGGCGTCGGCCAAATGGGATTCCGACTCTATAGATCCGATGTAGCGAGCGAGTTAGCTCTAAGCCCGAAGGTCCCATCTGGCGATCGTCGTGCCCGTCGGCCCACTCGGACAGATATTTTAAGGATCCCGAGCGAAATGTTTCGTCAATTGAAACCGGTTTTAAAAACGGAGAAGCGTGATGCGTTTCAGAGAATCGTGAGCCACGGACGGCAGGGGGGGATGTACCGAGTGCTTCCGCTATGAATCGATGTAGACGTGGCCGTCTGTTTCAGAGGAACGAGGGTCTCGACTTTTCGCTGAACGTCCCGCAGCATCATCATTCGACGTCGTATCAACACAGCGGCTACGCCATGGCTGATCAGGTAACTTTTCTCTGGATCCCGTGATTTAATTAAACCGCGAGCAAGCAAGTAACTAAGTACGGAACGCGGGACGGGTAAATAAGTAAGAAGGTAGGCAGGGGACGGATTGCGCGAAACGAAATTCGCTGAAGACAGGAATATGGTCCGATTGGGTATCTGGCCGCGAGCACGCGGCGGGCGCGCGGGGGATGTGGGCGCGGGTGTACCGGGAGTGTGGGTGCTGCGAGAGTGCAGGTGCAGACGGGTGGGGGTGCGAGAGCCCCCTTCCTTCATGGGGAACGAAGGGAGCGAATAGGAACGCGAGAGCGAACCAACGGGGTAGGAAAGATACGACTATCTTGGTTCGGCCGGATAGGCAGGCAGAGGACGAGGAACCGGTGGAGCCCGGGGTTGGGGTTGGAGTCGGAGCTGGGTACGCGGGGCACGGAGGAGGAGAGGCGGAGGGCAGATGAGGTTGGGGCTGTAGAGAGCCGGGGAGGGGTGTAGAGAGAAAGAAAAGTTTGAAACCGGTGGAGGAAGAAGATGGATAGGCGCGTAGTCGATTCGGAGATGGAAAGGGAGTGGGAGTAGGGGGTGTAGGAGTCGTTGAAATAGAACGGGTATGTACGCGTACACACGGACTATGCGAAAAGGGGGACGGGGACGAAGCGCGGTAAAACGGGACGCGAGAGAACCGAGAGAGGGGGGGGAGAGGGGGCTGTGAGAGAGGAAGAGGCGGGGGCGAGGGTGAAACGATAGAGTAAGAGAAACATCGTGAGGTAAGGGGTAACGCGAACGATGCGAGGGAAGAGAGAGGCAGAGGTGTACTCGATCAATAGGCAAGTACGTTCCTTCAAAGGAAAATTCCTGACGCTATTAAATCCAATTTAAAAACTTTTATTCCCCGTGGCCCGACGCGCTGCGCGGCAAATGTATTTTCCTTCGTTCCTCGCTACGAAAGGGAATAAATTGCTAAAAGGATTTCAAACGATACGACGTCGCTCGTTCTCCGTCTATCTCGTTGCTCCGGCGACTATGCCAGCGATTCGCGTTATCTACCCGTAGGTACATGTACTTACGCCGCGTCCGATTCGAAATGAATCGTCAACGTTGCATGATTTTCAGACGTTTCACACACCCAGTTTCGGCGACGAGGACTTTGACATACCCGCGATTCACCCGCACTCGCATCAGCATCATCATCAACAACAACAGCAGCAGCAGCAGCAGCAGCAGCAGCAACAGCAACCGCAACCGCAACAATCTCAGCACGACCCGATGCACGGGTACCAAGCACAGGTGAGTCTTCTCCGCGCCGAGGAAGCTTACGAGCGTGGTACCAACGAGAACGAATCGGTTTCCCAGATGATGCAAACCGGAAGTGTCCAGCAATCACCGGATGGTTTGACCCTTGACCCGGGTGGATACCAGCAGTCGCTCTATATGCAACAGGAACACTCGATGCAACCGATCAGCGTCAGGTGAGCGGTTCGAGCGATTCTCTCGAATCGATGAACCTGCAGTCCGGAGCGAAGTAGTAAACTTCCTTTGTCGATGCTCTTTTGCAGCTCGACGTACAACAGTTCGCAAGGTTCATACGCGAGTATGAATTCTCCGCGACAGCAGCATGGAAATCAGCAAATGATGATACTTCAACAGCAGCAGCAGCAGCAACAACAGCAACAGCAACAACAGCAGCAGCAGCAGCAACAAATGCACATGCAGTACATGCATTCTCAGCAGCAGCAGCAACAGCAACAGCAGCAGCAGATGCAACAGCAGATGCAGTACAGGAGCCCGACGGGCGGCAGTCCGTCGGCGATACAGCAGAATACTCTTCCGGAAGCGAGCAATACTACCACCAGCGAAGATAGCGACGACAGTACTCCCCATTCCGCAATGGTGAGATTCGAATCCGATACGCGTCGCCCGGATTGTATAAAAATTTGAAAAATAAAGTTGCGATCGTGCGTCCAGGTCACAGGGATTAAGCGGCCGTCGCCGGAACCGGCCGATGTCGGAACAAAGAATCAGAGAAAACCAAAGTCGCAGAAGAAAAAGAAGAAGAGGGATCCTAATGAACCGCAGAAGTAAGTATTCTACTTCAGTCGATATCGATTTTGAATTCGTGTTACATGTGCGTCATTTCAGACCTGTCTCGGCGTACGCTCTGTTCTTCCGCGACACGCAGGCAGCGATCAAAGGGCAGAACCCGAACGCTAGTTTCGGCGAAGTCTCTAAGATCGTGGCTTCGATGTGGGACGCACTGGACACCGAGCATAAGAACGTGAGTATTCTTAAACGACGATTAAAGTCGACGAATAAAATCGATGTGATTCCGTCGTCTTGCAGGTCTACAAGAAGAAAACCGAAGCCGCAAAGAAGGAATATCTGCAGGCCCTCGCGGCATACAGGGCGTCCCTCGTCAGTAAAGGCGCTGCCGAGAGCGAGCAGCAGCATCAGCAGCATCAACCTCAACAGCAGCCGTCGCCGCAGCAGCAAGTTCAATACGCAGCGTACGGGAATTACGCTGGAAACGGTACGCCTGGGACCATTTCGTATCAGGTGTACAGCCCTCAACCGCAACCTCCGTCGCCTCAGCAGCAGCATCCGCATACGCATCCGCACCAGCAGCAGCTTCAACATCATCAGCAAACGCAACAGATGCAGGTGAAAAAGTCTCCCCATCACTTGACTATGCAAGGAAATCCTCAGCAAGCGCAGCAGGTAATTATATTTTCTGAATCAAGTTGTCACTCCGGTGTCATCGGATTTAAATATCTTCTAACAATGTTTCTCAGACTATGATGACGACTTCGATGACGCATATGTCACAGCAGCAGCACATGCAGCAGCAAGTTTCCCAACAGCAGTACATGCAGGTAAGCAACGAGTCTGATTCTTTCGTTTCTATCGATCGTTTGAAACTTGTAATTTTTGTGCAGATGTCGCAGCAACAAGTGCAACAGGTGCAACAATCACAGCAGCAGCAGCACCAACAATCCCAACAGCAACACCAGCAGCAGATGATGCACACGAGTCCTCCGAAAACCGACTCGTTGTCGAGTCCTCCGCCGGTGGTGAACTCGACGAGCATAGCCGGTCAGCGACAAACGTCGAACGCCTGCATACGCCACGGGTGCCCGAATCCGGCGGTGGCGAACAGCGAGTGGGAGGATGAATACTGCAGTAACGAATGCGTGGTCAGCCACTGCAGGGACGTGTTCACCACGTGGGTATCGTCGAATCAAAACGCCCAACAGAACTTCTCGACGGTGAAATAAGATGGGAAACGAAATGATCGTCCGAAGGGTTTCCTAACGTATATTATACACGAACAACTCGAGAATTTGTACATACACCCATCTCGGCGAGAAGGTTGTTTGACGTCAGATCGAACAGTCGATTGTATCGTTCGCTATAGGTTTCGTTCGAAAGACTGCCTGCGTAGCAGCGCGACGCTCGTCGACGCGGAGACCGTCGCTCTACTTTTCCACTGATCAACGAGTCACTCGTTTTTTAACGCCGGGACGAGCGACGTCGCTGCGTGACCGCGAAAGAGTATTAGAATCGCCAAAGTAGCCGATAAAATCGAGCTGTAGTTCAGAGAAACCGATTGCCTCGTTGTCGTAATCGAATTACCAAGTAATCGGATCCGCGGGTGGGTGAGCGAGGCGGTCGCGTTCCTCGAACGTTTAGTTAGGGACCGTTTAACGATAGATCAAAGTAATTTCATAGGAGTATATTCGCAAAATTAGAAGTACGTACCTATTTAAAATCTGAATCCGCGTGGCATCGTATAAGTATCTCGCGAACTTATTTATCTCGCTACGCGACGAATTGAGATTCTACGCCCGTTGGATCATCGGGACTTGGTGTATAGTACGATGTTCACGTCTGCTGGTGGTGAAACGGTGCGGGAGGTAACGGAGGAAAACGAAGTTTGATCGTCACGAGCAGTAATCGATGACGCAACTTATTTTTGTATAATTTTACAAATTATCGAAGAGTCGCGCTAGTGATTCGGAGCGAAATTGGAGAAGTACAGAGAGAAAGGGAGAGAGTGAATGTTGCGAAAGACGAGCGCGACCGCCGTAGAAATTATCATCTACTCGTCTGGTCGGTTCAATGATTTTATACGTTCGCGTTCGCTCTTTCGTTGGTATCGTATTTTCTCAACGCGCGACGTTCACCGAACAAGTTGCGTTCTGAACGAGTTTTAGTTAGGGACAGACGATATGTCTCTGCAGAGCACAGCTTGTACCAGTTTCCATCGCGATCGAAACGATTATCGAACGAGATTGACTTCTTTGACGCCGAGTAAATACAAATCAAATTACGTTCCTAATCGATCGCTCCACAATCTTTCACTGAAATTTCCAAGTATCTCTCGCTTACGTGCTCTTCGTCAACTTCTTTGACGACGACTTCCCGTCTCGAGAAACGGTGTGAAGTTTTGCGCGTCCAACAAGAATCCATCAGTTTTTCAAAGGAAGATCTTTTCTTTTCGATCACACGGAATCCTGTACATAGTAACGAGTGGGAGGAAGGAAATATTCCATAGCTCTGTAAGTCTCTACAATGTAAACATAATCGACATAGTGTAACATATTGATCCACACGTACACGTAAACGTATGTCATATAGGATCACATATATATAAATATAAATAATATAAATGTAAAAAAAAGTACGATCGGGTCGAGAAAACCGGCGAGGTCGTGCGTACATGTATACGTATACGCGTATGTATATATATATTTACATATGTATATGCACGAGCGATAAGACGAAACGCGTTAGTCTCGCGGATCGTTCCCGGATGTAAAACTCTATAAGCGTAGACGATTAATAGATTGGTCTGGAAATTGGTCGAACAGAGTGAGAGCGTGGCAAGTTTTCCAGGTTTATTTAGGCGCAATTGCGAACGTAAAATATATACAAAAAGAAATGTATACTGTGTGAAAGAGGGGAGGAATCAGAAAAAAAAAGATAGAGAAAAGTCGAAGAGAGAGAGAAAAGAAAATAAAATTTAAAAGATATCCAACCAAATATGAGAGAGTACGCGTTAACGCGTTGTCACCCTCGTGTTACCGCAGGCGGGAGAAACGATTCGGTTCTATCCTACCTGCTTGTGGAACAGAGTCCGAAAGAGATGGAAAACGGTGGGGAGGCGAACTCTTGACCTACACTACGTAAACCGGAACCAGCCGTCTCGGATTCCTCTCGGCCCGTTTCCTACGGGAGTCGACACTCCAGTTAGGACGGAGCCGGCTGGAAGGAATACGATCAGATGAGAGATGCACTCATTGGTATACGTAACACAATGACTATAGTTTTTATTTAAAATTACTTTACGAGGTACATTTATATACATAAAAAATGTATGACTGATACATTTAAGCTTACGCAAATATGGACATATCCGTACACGTGCAATAACGTAATCGTAACAATTTTCCTTACGTTTTCATCCTTTTACATTTTACTTCTTTCAGCTTTTAGTTTTCATTTCGCATAAATCCTGTTCTCTCTCGATCAACGTTAGAAATCTTTTTTTCTCGATGCGATGTGATACGATACGATCAATTCAACGACTTTATACCTAACATGGTATCGCTCTTTTACAAAGCGACACCGGAATGTTGCAAGTTCTCCTTTGCCCGAAACACGAATAAATTTTTTTCTCGCAAATAACGTCAACAACAATTTCGTAACGGGTCGCCGTGCGAGATCTTAGAATCGGTCGGCGAAACGAGTCATGATCGGTCGAGTCAGATAATGGTAAAAAAGAAAGGAGGAAAGGACAGAAAGAAAGGAGAGAACTCAGTAGACGGGATAAATAATGAGTGATTGCGAGCAGGAGATCCAAAATAAATAGGGGTAACGCGAATCGACCGAAAATAATGTTTCGCGCCTCGATGCTTCCAAAAACTTTTTGGTAAAAACGTGGGACGATACACGACGAACACTTGAGATTCTTGCGGACACGTAGACATACAAAGTACACATGTATTTTTGTTTGTACTCGACACGCTTCCTCCCTCTCTCTCTCTCTCTCTCTCTCTCTCTCTCTCTCTTGCATGCTGCATACACGAAAGACCACACGAGTACTTCTATAACAGTTCGATCCGCGTGCCGCAACCTTCGACGCGCAACACGCGTCCGGCGGCAGGTTCACAGAAACAATTTGTCGATCGACAGATTTCACTCGCATTCCTTTTTTTCGTAAAATGCACGACACAAAAATAAATGCTCCTATTTCGATTACTTATATATCATCTTCCCTTTGAATTTCTCTCTCACACACGCACGCCTGGCGAACGTGCTCTCGCCATCCGCTTCTCATTCTCTCTCTCGATTTTAACAACGTTACACGCTCTCGCGAATAATTATTTATATATCTTTGACGTATACAGCTCGTCAAATTTCTTCATTTTTACAAAATATCACAAAAATCACACCAGCCTTTGTTCGCGACAAAAGAAGAAAGGACAACCCATCGCATACGTTACATCGTGTCTTATGCCGCTCTCGAAGAAAGATGACGTAGGTAGAACGAAACGCTGCCCGAGGGAGGGATGAAAAACGTTCCCTCGCCGCTGCTTCGAACAGCGCATCGCTTCCTCCACGTTTCCGCCGGGGATGTGACCGCCCGAATTCCGACCCACGGAAATACGATGGCGGGGTGGAGAAAGGAAAGAGAGAACATCGAATAGACCCGGGGAGAAAGCGAGGCCATACGGCTGCGCGTTCCACAGGGCAAACGCGAAGGAGTAGCAAAAAACTGAACACTTAAAAACTACTGTCTTTTCAGTTTAACAAGAATCGAATCCGCTTTGTCGTGGGGAAGCGGACGTGGTCGGTAGCAGCGACGATGGTGGCGGTTAGCGAATCCGCTCGTCGTTCGCGCGCGCTAGGAGATCACGCGGACAAGACTGTATCCAAAGACGAAGAATCACGTCTCCCTTCACTTGGCATCGTCCTGCTCCATCGGCTCCTCGGAAACTTCTCGGGAATGTTCTGGGGTAGTTCTGGTGTTTCCACGAGTAACAAAGTGTAATTAATCGTTAACGAAGCGAGAAGATAGACGAGGATACGCACGGATGTGCGGACTTACGTTAGATTGGTAGGCTGCTGCATAGATAGAGAGGCCATTGCGGAGACCGTTTCGGTTTCGTCCCGCTCCTTCTGTCCTGCTTCGATCACGCTCATCGAAACCGTGTGCGCGTTCAATTTGACGCAAGGCCAATGCGACATCTGCGAACCACCAGTGGTGTCAAAGTTCATGTCTACACTGATTCGACTCCCGGGGCTACGAGAACGTACCTGAATGGCAATAGTCTTCTGTAACGTGTCGACAGCATTTTGGCAGGGTATCCTGGCTAATTCCTCCTCCCGGAGTTGTGTCGGTTCGTCGCCGAGGAGGGCCCGAACGCATTCCTGCGCGGAATCGCAGATCGCGGCGAGATCGTAGCCACCCTCAAGGGCGAGGACGACTTTGCCGTTGGCCAAGGTGAGCAGCTGCTGGGTCATTTTTCCGAAACAGGCCGGGCTGACCTTGTAACCGCCGAGAGGCGCCGGGTGACCAACGGCCGCGTCGAATCCCGCGGAGACCAGGATGATGTTCGGATCGAACGCGGTCGCGATCGGCATCACTATCGTACGGAACGCAGCCAAGTATTCGGCGTCACCCATCGGTGGACTCAACCCTCCGGACCAGGCGACGTTCACGTTGTAACCCAGTCCCTCGCCGGCGCCGCACTCGGTCGGTCCTCCGGTGCCTGGGAAGAAGTTACCGTCGTCGTGCCTGTGTATCGACAGGTACAATACCCGCGGATCGTCGTAGAACATCTGCTGCGTCCCATTCCCATGGTGAACGTCCTGAACAGAAAGCACAAGCGAGACGGTTCGCGTTGATAAACAGTAACTGGCAACGTGCGTCCGCGGAAGTGTCGTTCTCAGCGATCGTTCCGATCGGAATCACACGGAACGCCGCGTCAGAATGAACTCGAACTTTTTAGAGAACTTTCAAGAGAGCTATTTTCGTGAACGCACTCAGTGGCTTGGTTCGAGGCGAGTGATTCGAGGAAGGGAAAAAACAGAGCGGGTTCTTACCCAGTCCAGAATCAAGATTTTCCGTATATCGAGCTTCTGTTGAAGTAACCGCGCAGCGATCGCGACCGAGTTGAAGAAACAGAATCCCATCGCCTGATTGGTTTCGGCGTGATGTCCCGGCGGTCGAACCACAGCGAAACCGTTCTTAATGTCGCCCAATGCGGTATTAAAGGCCAGGTCGACGACGCAGCCGACGGCCATTCTGGCAGCCGGCGCGGTATTCAGTTCGTTCCACGTCGTATCGGAATCGACGCCCACTCCGCCGCAGGGCAGCCGCACGAAACTCTTGATGGGTAGCTGAGAGAGCTTCGACACGTCCAATTTTTGCCGATTCATCGGATTCGTTCCTAAGCGAAGCACACTTTACTCCTCTGGTTCGCGGATCGCTCGATGGATATGCTCGTTATCAATAGCGAAAACGTCCGCGTTCCAACGTGGTCAACTCTATCCGTAAGAATGATCGCAAACTCACCGAACAGTAGAGCGTGCGCCTCGCTGTGACAAGTCTGGATTTCCTCGAGGGTAGCCTTGCGCGCTCGTATCCGGTCGCATCGTTGTAGCAGTCCAGTTTCCGATAATCGCGCCCAGACGCTCTGCAACCTGCCTCCGTGCTCGGGATGCCCGCGGACGGTTTCGCCACAGACGCAGGCGTGCTTCAACATTAGAAGATCGTAGGCCAAGCCGGTGGTCGGTCGATGGGAGGAAGGGCGAGCGAAGAGATCGCCGGTGGCTTGAGTCGCCTGAGGACCTGCGGTCGAATCGAAGTCGTCGTAAATCATATTCTCGATCGTTTACCAACCAACAGACGAACGAACTTCGGCCAGTACGCTTACCCAAGTGCACCAACGGACTAGAGAGCGCCCTGGACAACGGCCTGGCGCTCGACTGACTGCTTCTGCTCCCACCGTAGGCCGTTGACGATTCGTTCGATATCTGCAGAGTATGCCTCATCATCAGATCTCTCTGTTGCTGGAGGAACTGCTCCCGATCCCGCTGCTGCTTCGAGATCTCGCTCTCCTCTGACAGATCCTTCTTCCCTCCGGTCAAGTCTATCACCTCCGACTCCTCGCTCTCGGGCGCCTCGTCCAGTTGATTCGCTTGCCCCCGGGAGCCGACTCGGGTCAACACCGTCTGTCGAATCTGCTGTTTCAAGTAGTTGTGCGCCTGCTGCTGGTCGTGCAGTTGCTTCTCAGCCAGGTACTCCTCGTAGTGGGTCTGTGGCGCGATTATACCACCCTGCAGCATCGGATGGCCCAACGGAAGAGGCGCTGACTGCGTTCTACCTGCGAGATAGAAACGGAAGCGACGAACAAGTCGCGTTAACGGGAGAACAACGCGAGTTGGGAGCAAACGATCGACCGCGCGTGCCATCGTCAACAGTTATCCCGAGGATCGATGCGCTCCGTCGCGTGGCACGCGCGCTGGAAAAGCGACTGGCAACAAAGAAGAGAGAACATACTACCTAAAGGCCGGTGACCAGCCTTTTGCAGCCTCGCGTGCGCTACTTGCGTATCTGTGATCGGAGACGCTGCCGCGGACCCGTGATAAACCGCGGACGGGTGCTGCCTATTCGTCACCGACGGATGCTCCAAGTTCTGCATGTGCTTGTGAACGTAGCCGCTCGCCACCGAGTCTGCTCCCTCGATCACAGTCAACGACGGATAGAAAGGCAAGGTACCTGGTAGCATCTGGCCCGTGAGTGGCATCCCCAGTCGCGCGGTGAACGCTGCACGCACCTCCGCTTCCGAGACGGTCGCCAGTTTAGTGCCCGTCTGCGAACAGTCGAGCGCACGGTCGGGAAACGCGTCTCGAGAAATCGAAGAGATCGCATCACTTACCGTGCTGGAACTGGATGGTACGTGAGGTCGACCCAGCGAGATGTTCGGCATGGACGGCGAACTGAACAGCGAGAGATCCGAGAGGCTGCCCTGCTGGCTACTGCTAGTCAACGGACCACCGTATCCAGTGTTCTCCGCCTCCTGCGAAACATTTCAATCGTCAGCGAGATGAAAAACGCGAGCCGAAACGATGGTGTCTACCTCTTGAATCGCCGCCGCGCTTCCTCCTCCGGTGGGGCTCGCCTGAGAGTTGTTGACGGTAGGCGGTGAGTTAGGCCCAGACTCTGGATTGCTGCTAGAATCTGTAAAAGGTCGGGTCAGCGAGCGGAGGTGCACGCGCGCGCGATTTGCCTGCAACGTGTCCGCGTAGGTGACTGGAATTCGAGACAGAGAGAGAAAGAGAGAGAGAGAGGCGGCGGAGGGCGGCCGAATTCCGCTTCACGAGCAGGCGCGCATCGCGCGTCGTCCGACGACGATTATTTTCGTCGGATCACGGCCAGAACGGCGGTACAGAAGAAGAGGACGATGCGCGCGGACTAAAACGCGGGGCGCAACCTGATCGAGGCGCGATCCGTTCGCCGCTCGTCTGATCGATAGGCGTGTTAATGGATAAACGGTAGATAACGATCGTCGACGACATGCTGTTACTCAACACTGGCAAAAAGGCAAAATCATCAATGAATCGATTAATCGAGAACACGGGTGCAACGAGTCTCCGTTTGCTAATGCTCACGCAGGAAGAATCGAGTTCGGCGAATAGAGCTCGGCGATTGAACGTGATTACGATTCGACTGAAGCTCGATCGTGGGGACGTACTTGCTAGCAGTGACTTCCGCTTGAGGTGCGACAGTAGGCGGTCCTTCCGGCGTGCCATCAGGGGTGAATTTCTCGACGCGGCCATGTTCCTCTCCACGCGTTGCTTTAGTCGCACCTTCAGCAGGTTCGGCTCCGAGGCTGGCCAATTTTAGCCAGGGTTAGTTGTTGGTCGTTGTTGTATCGGATAATTGGAACGAGATGGAGGAGTCGGCCACGGAAACGCAAGGAACAAACGAACCGAGCACGGTTTTCCACTCGATCAACGTTACTCGAATCTCCACCGAACACCGTCGACGAGTAGAACGTCGATCGAGCGGAATCCCGAGAGTTCGTTTCTCGATCGTTTCGGGACAGCGAGGAAGAACGAGGGACACGTGTGCGTGTTTTTTCGGGTGTCTCGACAGGCAAGGTGGTTGGAGATCGCAAAAACCATGCTTTAGTTTAGCCATTCTACTATCGTACAATAGGCACACATAGAAAGAGAGACTACCTTCCACCAAGTATAATATGCTTTATCACTCGACAACACGGGTAACTTGGCTCGGTTGCGTGAGAACGCGTGTACGCGCGACTCAAGAGTCTACACGTACCTGTTTTCCGAAGTGGGAAATCGTCCGCGAACTTCTCCTGGAGCATGTGCGGCATCCGATACGGATGCGTTGCGTTCGTCGCGGCCGCCGAGTCCGTCGACTGTGGCTGCAACCTGGCCAAAAAATTTCCCCAGCTGTTATTAAATTCTGTCTCGCGGACGCTTCGGCTCGTGTACCTCGAATAGATCCGTCGATAAATAAATGATTCGAGGATATACCCGAGGACGAGTCGAAGGCCGAGGGAAGGAGAGAGGGTGAAGAGAGGAATGTCTCACCAACTCCTGTATCCGGGTGTACCAGACACGGCCCCATTCGCCGCGGCTGCGGCCTCTCTTTGCTTCTTGTTCACGAGGAAGCTCTGAAATCGTAAGGTGCCTCTCTCAGCGAGGTCTCGCGCGCAACGCATCGTTCATTCTCTCCCGAATTAAATTCGACCGCGGCATTTTCCCACCCACGCGAATTACGCGCACGCAGCAGTTTTCGAACCACTCCGCGGTTCGTGCAAAAGTACCTGAAGCCGTTGCTTGACCTCCGTCGACGCGTTCGCGCTGTGATCGTGCTTATCTTTCTTCCTCAACGCCTCGAGCCTCTCCTTCTCTTGCCTCTGCTCTTCCTGTTTCTGTTGTTCCCAAAGCTGTAACAAAAAGCAGACCGAAAAAAGATCTAGAGGCCGTCTACTGGCGCCGAACCGTTCGCGCTCTCGTCCTACGCTACGTCGTTCATTCCTCGTCGAACGAAGTCACGTGCAAACGAAAGGACGCGGTACATTGGCGAGTCAATTACATTACGAGAAACTGGAATTAGAAAGGACATCGTTCTCCGCTTTAGAAGATACGCGCGCTACGTAATCGTTCCTTCGAACGCGTCTCCGGTTACGGAGCGGCTGAGGCGCATCGATCGGCTTTGCAAACGCGCGAGAGGAATATTCCGCTGAACTTTCGACTGATAGAGAGACGACGGACGTACCGACGAGTCGTCGCACGAGAGGACGATCTCGATTCGCCAACCCCGTGGGAGAACCGGGGAGGCTGCGAAACCAGCAAGGGGAATCGATTCCCGTGATTTACCTTCAGCTGGAACATCTGTTGCTCGTGCATCTCTGCCAATTGTCGTTCCTGCGCCTGATACTGTTGCCGTAGGATCTGCTGCTGAAGCTGGTGCTGCTGCTCCAACTGGGAACATGGCAACGTGAGTTCATTGGCTGAAATCGATTCCAGGAAACGAGGGAGAAACGAGATCGGAATCACGGCTACGTACCTCGAGGATCTTCTGCTGTAACATGTGACCGTGGAGAGCCGGATCGGCAGCAGCCGCGTGATACGCGCTCGGTGTCAAGGTGGTCGCAGCGCCGGCGACTCCGGTGACCAGGTCTCTCGGTCTGGACATCGGCGAGCCTGGCGTGTCCCTGGCCATCTCTGCGCACACGTGTCCACATGTACGCGTATCGCGTTTGGGGTACAACACTCGGGCATTCGAGACGGCTAACTTTGCTATTACGTATATCTTTGTCTCGTGGTCACGTCGCAGAGCGAACGAGATATTTAATCGTGGGGCCTGAGCTGGCCCAACTAGTCCGGGTCTACCGGTCGAAACGGACGGCGGCAAGCCCGCGGAATCGGCAACGAAGTTAATCGTTAAACGGTCGCTCGCGGCTCGACATCGTGACTATTTATAGAAGCGTTATATGCGCGGTAATTACTTATCTCGGTTTTTTCTCTCGGCCGTGTGTGATCGAGTGTCCCGATCCGTGGCCGGTAGTACCGGAACACGAGCACGCTTACCTTTGTGCGGTAGATGCGTAAACGCGGGCGAGATTTCGATGCTCCTGAAACCCACGTCTTCTGAAACAAAACCGAGAAGCAGGCATCGTAAATCCGTTCCCTCCCTACGGTAATTGGGGACGCGATGCGAACCGCGTTCGCTTTCCGAGAAGGGATCGCCGCTGCGAATCGAACAGAATCAGATGGAAAGGGGGTCGAAAAGAGTCGAAGGAGGAGCGAGGAAGGTGCGAGTACGAGGCTCGGGCGCGAGCAAGGGAAGGCGAGCCGAGCAGAGAGGTCAGTGCACGCTGCATTCCTCCGAGTCAAGTCCAAGGTTAATCGCGGAGGAGGGCCGACACGCTCGCTTCGCTCTCTTCGCCTCCTCTTTCTTTTTCCCTCGTCCTCGTCCTCGTGTACGTCGCCCCGAACCTTCCAACTTTCGCCGATTCACGCGCACCTCGATCGCTCTGTACCAGCGCCGACCTTCCCGGCTTTAATCGAGCCGTGCACGCCGAACGTATCGCTCCGGTCAAGGATACCTCCTCCACGCGAACGATCGTATCTTGGAAACTTTTAAAAGTAGACAGCTCGAATTTACAATGAATCCAGATCGGTGTTACGTCTGAAACACGTCCAACATCCAGTTAAACAGGATCCCTATAGAATCAAGTATGGTCTGAGCGAGCTTGAAGTTTGGAAGATCCTTACGCTCGAGAGCAACGTGGTACAAGGTCGTCGTTTAATTGGAGATTATAGATATCGCCCGGAGCAATTGTGTAACTCGTTGCATTCTGCACTTCAATCTCTGTTACTCCTCGATTCTCTATCAAATCTTATTGGACGAGTTTTCCTATCAGGGGAAAAGAAATAACGTTCGAAGGCCGGTTGGACTGATTCACCGTCGTCGCTGACGCCTGTTGCCAGCCGATTCAATTATACATGTAGCTCGCCTATCAATCAAACTGATTAAGTGTCGCCGAAAGCGTTCACGCGCGGTCGAGCTATCAATTAGAAATCGACACTCTTTGCTGGAGTCTTAGGAACCCTAAGAAATAATCTGAAAGACGATCGGTTCAGGAAGATTGGTGCTCCCTCGGAGATTACGGGCAGAGGTACACGTGTGAAGCAGGAAATTGGCACCGCGAGGCGGTGCGTCCGATGAACCATGATCCCGCCGCGCCGAGGGGAATCGAGCTGAACGGCAAGGAACCGATCTCCACCGGAAACCTAAGAGAGATGAGCGCGAAACGAGACGAGAACCAAGTTTTCGCTCGTGTTCCTGGCCGGTGGCCGACTAGCTAAGATTAGACGAACGCTCGCTATATATAGGATGACATTTATATACCTACGCACCTACTAAACGCGACTCTGCACGCATCTCCTTCTCTCTCGTTCACTCTCCTCCTTACTCTCGTCTCATACGTGACGCTTCCACGCTCTGGTTCGATATAATAAACAATCGAGTCAAATAACTCGTCGAATACGATCACTGAGATAAAAGAGAGAAAGAGAAAGTATCGCATAATGGTTGACAATTCCATGCGTCGTGCGTGTCCTTTGTAAGAGCGGCGACGCGAGTTCGGGTGGAAAAAATGATCGCGACAGTGTCTGCGAGTCCGCGTGGGCGTACACCGACTCGATTTCCTCGAGCGGAGAACGACCAAGAGGAAGGAAGACCAATGACCCCGTAACGAACGCGATATCGCCGGCGCCGCTTACCAATCACGAGAGCACGTATACATGTACATACATACGTGAGCGCGTATGTAGTTCATCTGCTCTGTTCGACGAATCTCACGGATCACGTTTTAACGGATCGGATTCGCCGCCGCGGTGACCGTGAAAAAATTCAAAGCGAACGTTTCGCAGGTTGCGGAAGGATGGGAACAAGAGCAGCGGTACTTGACCGTACGCGTTTCTAAATTGATCCCATGACTTTGTCTAAGTGGCGCGAATGATTCCGATGACGTCAACCACGTTTCTGTTTCTTCTATTTGTCGCTCGCGCCGGATCCGCGAATCGCGGCCACTCGATTCGCACTTGGGCGAACAACGAACATTTTTACCGTGCGACTCGCTTCCTCGTTTCGTCGCACGGATATTTTTAAGCCACGATAACGAGTATCGCTCGGATATAAGACGAGCGTTTGATGCTCTTTGTTCTGCCACCCACTCGCGGACGAGATGCCTGTAGCCTCGCAGGATCGAGGGAAAACGCTCGGTTTACCACGTAGCGTCGCGACCAGAGAATTGACAGAGACCCTGATTTCATTCGGGGACGCTGCTGCGCTGGTTTTATACAGTTCGACCTTAATTGATGAGGACGGAGCCGCGCGAGGCACAACAGGTGTCCGATACGCGTTCGAAATTGGAAACAGCGTTCTCGGGCACACGTTCTCACGACTTTTCAAAACTCACTGGAAGATTTCATTCGAGAACCACTTCGTAGGTTATCGTCGATCTCGGACCGGTGTCGACTGCCGCTGAGGATACAAGTTGATCAACGTCCGAAGAATAACCTCACAATTGGGAAATCGAAACTCGGAGACGGTAGCCGACGGACGTAGAACGAGACTCGTAGAAATTCGGGAAAAGGAAAACGGTGGATCGCGCGCGGGCACGCGTAACCAAGGATTACGAAAACGCATCTCTATTTCGAGAGAACTGTCATTGCCTCGCCGCGAAGGTCCGACGAAACACCGTCAACCGTTGAAACAATATCCAAATCACTGTCGCGCATTGTCGACACTCTGCGCGCGGGACGCAACGTTCTGGACACGATGTTTCCTTTCGTATCCGCCGTCGCGACTTCCACGCACGTTTGTCAAACGGTTCTTCATTTTTACACACTGAATGGACACGCGATCTCGAACGAGTCGACCGATCGCTCCACGAGTGGATCAATAAACATAGGTTAAACCGAGGATCGGTGCTGGATAAACGCGAGCGAAACGAGAATCGACAAGAATTCGCCGGCGCGGTTAGACAACGGGAGTGAACTAATTGTAACCTCTCATTGTCAGTGGGTGTCGTGCGGTGGTTCGCGAATCTCGGCTATTTATAGAGACCCGGTACGCCACGTACCGTGGCGTTCGCGTTTGCCTCGTGCTTCTCGAGCGCGCACCCCGAACGTAACCGCCGGCGAGACCCTTTCCTCTTCTCACACGGCGAACGTTCACCACTTTCTCTTTTACTTCCTCGACGTCGGCCGCCGATTCCCTTTCGTCCCTTCGGTCCTCCCGCCTCGCCCGTCGTGTCAATCCCACGTTTCGTAGACTCGCTAACTTCTCACTTACGCCTGGTGATGACGTACGCGAGCAAAAATTTCGCGAACACGACGGTCGGAAGGCAAAGCGCCGCGTCCGGGTGTATCGGTACATAAGTGCGAGCGACGAGCTCGTTGTTTATCAACGGCGAACAGTCATCGTGATTTGCGCGCGTGGTCGGAAGTTTGTCCAAGCGACGCAATTTATTCATTGATTACGTAACGAGTCGTCTACTTTCAGGGGATATCAATCTGCTATCAAGACGGCCGATCGGGTTTACTATTTTAACCGCGGCCCGTTATTCGAACCGAGGAGGCCTCCGGCAGGTGGTTTTTTTTTAACGGGCTGATCCAACCGAGTCTTTGGTCAAACTTCGTCTCGGGGACACTTCTTTTTCGCATGATCTGCAATCGATGAAAAAAAGAGGAGATGTGAGGATCGTCGGAATTCGTCGATGAAGAACGTTTTGAATGGGTAGCAGCTAATACCAGTGAACGCAAACGATCAGGATTTCGCTGTACGAATTGTTTTCTAGAACGCGTTCGATCGATACCCCCTCGCCTCGTCTTCTCACTCCCTGCTTTCATCGCACGTTTCTTCGATTCCAGTTCTGCTCGGAAAGAGAGGAGGCGATTCACGAGAAAGCTCCCTTCTGAAAATAGGAGGCAAGGTCACCCCTCCTTGGACCATCTCCTCGTTGCTCCACCCTAAACCCCGAGCGTATCGATCCGAAGCGAACCGATAGCGAGAACGGTCCTCGTGTTACGCGAGGACGCGGCCACTCCGTCGCACCAGGTAAAAACTAGGCTTTCCAATGAGAACCTCGTTTTCGAATCGTCGTTCGAACTCGGGCTGTAGAAAACGACGAATCGTCGAGCGAATAATACGGTCGCGTCGCGGTGAAGAATCAGAAACTGGAAGGCGGACGATTCGTTTCAGCTCGCATCGTCAATGAACGTCCGTGCCATTAATTACGATCGACCGAGTCCCGAGCCCGCGTGGATCGAGGGAAGAGGAGAGGAGAGGCCCCGCGATGTTTTAAATTTTTCTGAAAGATGGCGCGTGCTGGTTAGCGCCGCGGACTCTAATCCATCCAGGGTCTCTCTCGTCACTTCCGACTATTTATAGACGACCGCTCGATATGATGTACCGGCGTTATTTTTAGCGGCTTACCTAGCTACGGCCCTTTCACCCCTTCGAAATAGCAACTTGGGAATACTCGAACGAGAGCGGTACACATTCGTGACCGACGACTCCTCTCGTCTAACTCTAGAGAAGACGTGCGAAAATCCAGCTTTCGACTCTCCTCGATCCTCCGAGCATATACCACAGCCCTTTGCGTCTACGTAAACCTGAGTAGAAAGTGATCGTAAGAATTTGCATGGAAGCGTTACTCCAACGAATGCTCGGTAACAACGTTTTCATTCTTCCAGTTATAGAACCCTTTGACCCGAAGACAGAGGAGGAAGAAGAAGAAGAAGGAGAAGAATGGATCCATTTTCGTGGACGTAACCGTAGGAGGAGGAACCTGAAAAGACGCGCGCGGTTTATTTGCGTAGTCGATCACGTAACTTTGTTTAATTATGTGTCGGCGCAATTATACCGTAAACCACCGTCCGGTCTCGAAATAGCTGAATCGATACGCGAACATCCCGAACCTAAGCCCGACGGCTCGCGACGTGCTGCCCTATCCCCGATCACGTTTTCCCCTTTCGAATTTCTGAACTGGAGCGAAGGAAACGTGGAGCCTGGAGGCGCGGACGGGGACGTGAGGGGACGCCGCCAGGGACAGAGACGGAGAGAGAATTCGCCTCGTAGGTGGTCTTTCTCGGCTGGTAATACGCCGTATGGCGTGTTAGGACAAAAATAGCGGCGGTCCCGTTCGAAAATACCGGCCGCTAAAAATACGAGCAAAAATAAACGTCTACACGTGCAAAAACACGCATTAATATTCGGTGCGCGCCACCCCGCGTCCGACGCTCGTGTTTTCGTGATACAGAAGAGGAATCGGAGTTCTCGCGGATAGCCTGGGAGAGAGAGCATAAAGAGAACCCACGTGGAAACGGAGGGAACGAGGGAAAAAGGAGGACCGGCTTTTATCTTGTCCGTACGCACGTTTCGTCCGAGGGAGGGAATGGATGGAAGGAGGCTGGCGCCACGAGGCGCCAGCGATCTGCGACGCGGAAGAGAACGATCTTATCGCGAAACCGTGTGTCGCGGACCGTCGTAAAACCTGTGACGAGAAAGGGGCCGGCGCTGGCACCGTCCTGACGGGCCTAAACGATCTCTTCTATGACTCATTCGGAACAAAGGCGAGACGCGGGGACCGTCGTCTCTCCGAAACGACTTCTTCCCTCGAAACGTAGCCGAGATCATTGCCTCGACCCGCGAATTCGAGTTCTCCGCGGCGGCGGCTGGCATTTAGAAATTAGAAAGGATATCGCGCCACCGTACGATCGTGTCGAAAGACTCGGGGAGGAGAGAAAAAGGGGAGAGACGGATCAATGTTCAGCGATGCAGTTTTGCAACGCGTTATCGAGCCAGGTTATCGGGTTCTCTACATGCTCCCTTTCGGATAGACGGCACACCACTCGCTGAATCTGGGTTATGTTTACTACCCCTTCCTTTGATTACCGCGCCTCTCCCTACGCTTTCCACGAGGTTTACGCGTGCACGAACTTTGCCGTCTCCTACCGCGAGCGCGACGTAGAGCGTGCGTGGATGTTTCGTCGCCCGGGAGACGGAGCGCTATGGGAAGTTTAACATCCGTGGAAAGGAAGGACCACCGACTTTTCAACGCCTCTTCCGTTCTCCAAAAGAAAGGGAACCAGCGGTGAAGGACGAGTCAAGGCCCTGTTATCGCGCAGCTAAACCGACGAAGAAACGGCGACCTACGTCCACGTAGCAACGGGCCGTTGCGATAAAAATAGAAACAGCCGTGCAGATCGATCGCCGGTCATTTCCATCACGCTACGCGACCGATGACGAGGTTCTCGCTGCGACTCGATTCGATCCGATGCGAATTCGTCGCCGCAATAAGATTGTAGGATCGACGGTAACTACAACGATAACAGGCATGAACGACGGCTAGCGGACAGACTCGTAACGGACGAGGTACGAGAAGACGAGGTGCATAGATACGTACGCAGCGCGGCGAGTAGGCATAGGCAGCTCCGCGCCACCCACACCTCCGGAATGGAGACCGTTACGATGCGACGAAATTAGCACAGGCACAATAAGCGATCCCGCCTTCGCTCGGAAAAATAGATTTGGCAAGCTACCAAACCCCGGCTCTAAATAGATCTCAAATATATGGATCATCCTGGTCTTTTGCGTTCCTCCTCGCGCGCGCGGCATCCACCGACGGCCGTAGAGAAACGACCCTTTCTACCCGAACATCCCTTGGTTTCGCGCGACGGTGACGCATCGTCCGCGGTCAGCGGTAATTCCCTGGAGCACTCGGACCGAACGCTCTCCGGGGAGGCGTCTCCGAATCACGGCTCGAAAACACCCTTGGGAAACGACTAGCCGAACAAAAATAAATGGAGCCGATTAAAATAAACCCGACAGACTATTTTACGCCCGTGCCTGTTCCGTTGGTCCTCGTCGTAGTCGCGACCGCCGCAGGTACCTGCGTATGCACCCCTGTTCATAAGTCTCGAGGCGTACCGTAAATAGTCCAATGCATCACTCGTTACATGATTCCAACCCGATGATCACAATTACGCGCGGCGTATCTCGATTAAGACCTTTGACCGTGTACTCATGGGACCGTTGGCCCGCTGGAAGAAACGTAGCCAACATATGACAGTGCCACCGAGCTCGGAACCTATACTTTTTATGAACTAAAGGCGTGCAGAAATCATTGTTGAAATCAATATCTTCTGTTCGAAAATAATTTATTGTAAAAATATCAAAAATTTTGATAAATAAATTATTGAAAATGAATATTGGCATTTTTATTTCACGATCCTTGACCAAATGACCGAATGACCAATCCTGAGGGTGGCTACTATTAGTTAGTGGTCACTCGCTTTAAAATCACCCGAGTAACTATGGACGGTTAATGAAAATGGTTAAATCCTGATTAATAAATTAGTAGAAACGAATTTCAGAATTTTTATTTCGCGATCCTTGACCAGATGACCGAATGACCAATCCTAGGGG